AGCGGATCTCATGGTCCGAACAGCTATTATAACAGCTGACTGCCCTTAGCAACAGGTCGTTACAGTTTGTAAACATCTGTCTCGAAATTGACTGGTGTGAATCACTGTTGCTGACAACAATGACACATGCCCTGGGGTTTTGAACCACCGGACTAAACAGCTGACTAATAGAATTGGTCAAAGAATTGTAATTCGTTAAGAAAAGCCGAGGTATTCGCAGATGGAAAATCGAAATCATACAAGACAAATTACAGGGGATATTTTAAACATATGCATATCAACATAGCCTCCTCGGCGTTGGTGTATGGCAACGTCGCACCGGCCGGAATGTTGCTATCGCAGTAACAGTAACAAACGTGTAAACATAGACATTGCGCAGAAACTCCATTGAATTAGTGCAACAAATGTCTCGGTAGGCTGGAATTGCGGCTGTATTACTTTTGCTCCGCAGTTGAAGGCTAATTTCTTCACATCACTTTTGTTCCGGGGGTCAGCAGGTAGATTTCAGGATAGGCCGAAACGTCGCTTTTGTTCCGCGAGAGAGGAGGCTGTACTTTCCCTCCCCCAAATCCTCTCTTTCGCCCTCCTCCTAATTCTTTCTTTCATGCGGGCTTTAAAACCCGTTAAATTATAATTTTATCCTTAGCAAAAATATAAATAATTTAAATAATTTAACCTAAGCTAACCTATGAAAGAAAGAATTTGGAGGAGAGCGAAAGTGAGGATATGGGGGAGGGAGAGTGCAGCCCCTTCTCTCGTGGAACAAGAGAGATAGCAGCGGATCAAAAGTGATGTTTCGGCCGGCCCTGAAATCAACCTGCTGACCCCCGGAACAAAACTGATGTTCTTGCCGCGTAACAAAAGCGACACACGCGGAGTTGCGGCGTTTCCACTTGTGTCTCGCTGCGGCCTTATATTACTAGTGGAGGCCATGATATCACGCGTAAATCAGCTAAGTAGTTTAACCCGCTAAAATCCGGTCCGATCACCTGTTAGTACGAACAGCTGTTTGTATAATCAGGTGTTTGTATGCTTAGTTTAGCAGATTGTCTACAGACCCGGGGGCTTCTAGGGTTTTCACCATTAGTGTGAATGAACTACGCAGCAGATCTCAACTCTGTCAAGAATAACACATTAGGTGTTAACACACTTGGGTTTTTAGGCCAAGAAAAACATTGGTAAAATTAAGATAAGTGTGCGATGCTATCTTACTCACTTTTTGACGACAGTTATGTCATACCAATGATATTTCGATATAGGTTAGTTTGTGCATATTCCATTTTATCGTAATACAGGTAGTTTTAAAGTTAGTAAATATAAATAAATAAAGAACGGCACACGACGTAAACATACCTCAAAATGATCATTAGAAATAAATACTCCCTAATAGATTTTGTCGACCTTATGGACCAGTTGAAGAAAACTCCAAGTAATTATTCTGTTTGGTGTGTAGAATCGTAGAGTGTGATTTGAGGTTAACTATTTATTTCTTATAGTTTCACCAACTTTGAATCTATTGTAACCAAATAAATCAATGTATGTACTGTATTAACTATTGTTTGTCTTATAGTCTTATAGTTTGTCTTATAGTTTGCTTGTCTTATATACGGCCGAAGAGCAAAGAAAATTTACGCCAAATGTACAGAAGTAAAAAATAAATTAGTATGAGTGCATATCTTCGAAACATGAAATGAATCAAAATATGCTCAAGATTTTACAATGGAATAAAAAGTCCATTTATATATCATAAATCAATACATCAGCTCATCTAGGATTGTAAACCCAAAAAATATAAGGGATTGTGTTTAACCATAGCCACGTAAAAATACAAGGCCGCGGCGAGACAAAAGTGGCAACGTCGCAATCCCGGCCTACTGAAACAGATGTTCCATTAAATTCATTTTGGAGCGTCTGCGACTGCGCAATGTTTATGTTTACACGTTTGTTATTAATTCCCATGGCCCATGGTGCGACGTTGCCACGCACCAACGTATTGTATTAGAGGAGGCTATGGTTAATAATAAAAGGCTAGCTATTAAGAAATTAGCCAGTAGAAAATTGAGAAGTTAAATAAGAGATAGTGTTTTCAAAGCTTCATAATAAGTAATATTTACGTGCTTACTATTGCTATTATTAATGACCTACTCCCAATAGCCGAATCTCCATGAACTTGACCTAGTGCAACATAATACTCAATACCTGTCTGATAAATTGCTCGGCATTGTTGAGTTGAACCATTGTTGAAGCTGAATTATCTTGGCAAAATAAACAGCTGATCTTAGTAACAAAGTTACACAGATCGTCCACTGTACATAAAATGTCAAATGCGTCGATGTTCTTGTAAAATAATTATGTGGCATTCATTACAAAATTAACTGGCCGAATAACAAAATATGAATTTAGAAACCCAGCTTATAAAATGGAGGAGTATGACGAGACAGAACACGTTCCAAAAGTGTCTAATTTCTTCGACCACCGCCATCTTTCAACCTCGGTTTCGCCTGGTTCTTTTCTGGGTGTCGAAAAGAATCTCTATAGACCCTAGTGATGAAATACACAATCGTTACGTTACTTTATTATTTGATAACAATCATAATTTGTTTTTAAATCGTGTGCTATTATTTTGTATAGGGGGCTATTTTGGATAGTACTAATCAAAAATATTACCAATGCAGAATTCAAACGAAATTATTTTTTCTACAAATTATTTTTAATCTTGTTTGGTCTTATTACTGTCCATAGGAATTATGAATGCTAATATAATTGTTGTGCTATTATTAATGCACATTTTGACAAACGAGTAACAGCTAATTATTTAGTTTTATCAATGATATTTTTAAGAAAAATAAGTACGTTTATTACAAATTCAGCTTACGTTTAAAAACTAGAGTGAAAAATGACCCTTGCGGTCAAGGCAAAGCCAAAAGCGTCAAATGAAGGAGCATCAAAGAGTGACTTTTAGAACTTAGCTATATTTTTCGACACATTTACCATAATATTTGCTTCAAAAGTCAAGCTAAGTAAAGTCAAAACTTTCGAGTTATTCACATAGTTAAAGCCGTATACCTTCTTTCTTCACCTAAAGTAGTTTGTCTTCTAAAATAATTTCCAACCATCCAATTTATTTAAGAAAACAGTTGGTGCAAACGTATTCATGTATTATGTTTGATTATTATTATTATTTTACTATAGTCTACTTCAAGTAAAGATTAATATTTTTATCATTGTGGACTATCAATAACCAGAATCGATTAGAGGATAATTGATTGTTTCATGGCGATATATTGCTCATTGATGAGAAAGCTAAAATAGGAATATTTTGTTTTGTGAGAGATACAATCGTTAGTTCTATCGAAGCAGAACACAGTTCTCACTCACGTGTTTAACCTTTCATTGTTTTGCTTTAAATGTTTTGATCTGATGTTAAGAACAATGTAACAGCTGAAGTTTTCAATATTAATGATCATTTTAGTCGTAGGACATATTTTACCACAGTTTGATGAATTGTATATATTTCACCACTAGGGCGTAAAGTGACTCTTTTCGACCCGAGCTCAAGTTTCACAACCGAGGTGAAGCCGAGGTCGGACAATGAGCTAGGGTTGAAAAGACACTTTTCCAGTGTGATGAATTATATTTTTAGTCACATTGCAACATTATTTAACAAACTAAGCTAGTAAACAAAAATAATGTTCTTGTAAAGATAACCTATCAAAACGACCGTCAACTTGTTTTCAATTTTGCTAATGCATACAAGCAGCTGTTTAATAAGTTATTCAATCATTTCGTCTGTAGTGTATATGAAACTAACTTATCGATTGTCATATGCCGAACTATTGACAAGAATGCAACAATAAGCTACGACCATAGACTAGTATGTGTTATCCGGGGAGCGAGCTGGCGTGGTGATTAGAGCGCGGGACTTCAGTCCCTGAGGTCCCGGTTTCGATCCCCACCAAGTCACCAATGGATTTTATCTAAGTGATAATGCCGCAACCCCTAGGTCTAGCCTGAAGTAATGTGAAAAACAATCCCAGGCTCGTGCCTAGCGTCCTAGGACTAAAATGTGTGTGTTATCTATACTACAACCGATTAAAAAACATACATCATTTCGATACAAGCGATTGCTTACAATCGAGGTTTACAACAGCCGATTTTTACTCTCTAGGGACTAAAAAGACTTTTTACTCTCTTGAGAGAAAAAAATTACTTTGGATCCACAATGCATGCATTAAAAACCACTTTTTTGCTTCAGTATGACGAAAAGTATGTTTTAAGATCACAAAAGAGCTATATATCCATATAAATTTGGTTGAATATTTTTTGTACTTGTATAAATAATCATCGTACAATACATAATTTACTTTAGCACTATCAAGATGGTTGGATTTCAATGACAATTCACAAATCCTTTTAAATCAAGAGCTTTCCAACCCCATAAAATATCATGAACCGAAGATTGTATTCAGTCCCTCACACCACAATACATGATTACCAAACTTTGCCATAATCCAGCAACACATCAATTTATCATTATGTATCAAAAGCAAGAGTATAACTAAAACTATGCTGTAAAAATATCCAACTAACAAACTTGCAATAAATGTTTAATGGAGATTGAGCTGATTCAGTGCCAAACCGCGGTATCTAACTCCTTGGGGTTCTGGGTTCAAACCCAAAAAATCACCAATGGCTCAATAAATGCAACCTCTAGTCCTAGCCTGAAGTAATGTGAAAACCCACCCCGAGCATCCTAGGATGTGAAGATGGGACAAAGAATACATTTATTCCATCTCCTTTGGATGACACCCCCGTGGTCCGCAGACTGACCGGTTCCCACGATCGGATACCCGATGGACGTCCAAGAGACGGCAGGGGTTGCGACATGTGGAGTCTGTCTGTCTGCTGAACAACAGGAAAGTACCCCCAGGACGACCTTGGGGAGGGGTATATAGCGGTGAGGGAGACAGTTCCAGCTAGGATACGGATTCTTCTCCACCATGAGAGTTCTGGTAAGTAAAGTGAAACATGTTTAAAAAGTTAATTAGGTGATTTGAAAAATCAAAATATATTTATTTGTAAACAGATTTAGTTGTAGTTTTGCACATATTTACCATTGTGTTAAAAGTTTTTATATTTTAATGATAGTTTATAAACAATCAGATACTTAAATATTAGTTTTTTAAACATTTTTTAAATCTGTTTTAGTAGAGTTTAAATTTATGGAGTATTTTTTAAACAAATTTAGCTATAGATTAAAAATTTGGACTTTTCCAAGTTATGCGACTCATACGATTAAGACAATTTAGGTTGACATTTTCGAAAATAAATTTTAATTATTTGACAATCTCGATTTAGTCGGGTTCAATTTTGGTTTAAATTAAATATTTTTAGTGAAAGTTGAATTTTCTTATCTATTTCAGTAACCTAAACAGTGTTTTTTTAGTTTTTGGGTAAATTTGATCCCAGATTATTTAAAATTTTCTAATTATTTTTTTTATATTTGTTGCATAATTAACATTACGATTATATTATTTAAGTTTTCTGTTTCAAAAGAGTAGAAGCAACAACTAACATTTTGTAAAAGGGAAAGGGATAGATCTTTTTATAGAATCATTCAGTTATTAATAATTTAAAATAAATTTAAAATGTGTTTACTTTTAAAGATTAAAGAATTCAAAATACCAAAAATAACACAAATATTTTCAAAGGTGTGAAAAATCTATAAATGTCAGCATTAACATTTTGATGCATAAGTTGTAACATGTTATAAGTTAAATATGCCCTTCATATTAGTGGTATTAAATTATCAGCTTAGTTTGACACCAATTGAGTTTAACTTTCTTTTATGTAGATAGAAAAAGAAAAAAATAAGATTGTTTAAATTTGTTTATTAACAAACATTGGTTCTTAATAAAATATCTTAAATGCATAATTTATCTCGGAAAATATGAGATTCTTTTACTCGTTTACTACTATAGGTGTAGGATTTTAACAATACACAGCGAATCGATCTTAAAATATTTAAATATACTAAATAACTTAGGCTGATTGATACAGACAACCTGAGAAACAAAAACAAACCTGAAAAAAATGTATTACAAGATTAATGTTTAATCCTCTTAGGATAAGATACAAATGTAATATAGTTTGTTGTATTCTTTAACTACACGGCGATCAACAAAAAGTTTTGTTAATTCTATAATTCAAAGATAAGTATACAATTCAAAACTAGTTTAAATCTGTTGTGCAAATTACTCCGTAATAAGTTCGTGTTTCCTCTTATATTAATTGACACTTTCTAAATAGACTATAACAACCTTCATGTGGTTTAAATAAACTCTAAATTATTTATATAGTTTGTTATTAACCAATGTGTTAGATAAAATTGTGTAATGTGTAATCCATGCGTAGGTGGATAAGGAGTTTTATCCTATGATTAAGGATTTGGTTCAATTCCGTAGCAAGGCCACTAACAGCGGTTTTAGATTTTAAAGTAGATTATAAATTATTTCTTTTTAGATTTGCCATCCTTGTAGTCTAACTTAAGACAATTTAAGGTCAATTCCGTACAGTTCTCGTTGATGGCGTTTTGTTCTTAACTATTTCTTTCAGTACAGTTAATTGAATGGACTTTTTCATGCTCATCCTCTTTATTATTTTTTACCCCAACGCCTCACACATATTTTTCTGTTAGGTGTACAAACAGTATCCTAGTGCTTTCAAAACGAAGGCCGCTCCTATTAAAATTTGCCCTGTGCAAATGAAAATGATGTAAATAAAATTAGAGGTTAGTTATGTTCGGTTAGGTTAGGAGAGGTAAACTTTAGGCCCAGACACGTCATCCAAAGCGTACGTAGGCTATTTTGTGTTTGGTTGTTGGGAAGAGACAAATGTTAGGTTAGGCTCTTTCCTTTAGGAGGAAATGTAAACAAAACTTCATTTCTGACCATTCCATGTTCATACACTCTGCCAATTTCTCATTTACATCACCTTCATAAGCATATAGAAAATTAAAAAAAAGTTGCCCGCTTCTGGAAAAGGCCATTGTATCCGTACGACCGTACGCTAAATAAGTACCAAACAGTATCATTACAAGTAATGGTTATGTTTTGGTCAAGCCATCATGTGATGGTAAATACTATTTCATGTGGATTTGTGTGCTAATTAATACTTGAAACCCTAGAGACTTCACATGATGAATCTTTCTTGCTTTTGGTAACATTCGTAATGCCGACGGATTTTAAGCAAGGAATAGCTGAATACCCATACTTTCATGTAAAGGTGTAAAGGCTTAACATTCCTTACAACATCAATTTGTGAAATATTTCGCGCTAGCAAAAAAGTAAGAAACAGGGATGGAATTTTCTTTTTGTCTGGGACAGTAAATGAGAAAATAAAACATTGAAATATAGGGGGGAAAATTAAATTGTAGGTATACGATTTAGACTAATTATGTAATCTTGTGTTGCAGGTAACGTGCCTGCTGTTAGCAGGCGTTGCCTGGGCTAAGCCTCAGTACTCCTTCGCCTTTGCCCCAGCGGCTGTATATGGAGAGCCTGGAAAGGTAGTTGCTGAATTTGCGCCGCCTCCACCCCCGCCACCTCCGCCGCCTCCGCCGCCACCACCACCTCCGCCTCCAGAGGCGCCGTATGCACCTCCACCACAACCGGAGTACGCTCCACCACCACCACCGCCGCCTCCGCCACCACCACCTCCACCACCTCCACCTCCGCCTCCAGAGGCGCCATATGCACCTCCACCACAACCGGAGTACGCTCCACCACCACCACCTCCTCCTCCGCCACCTCCACCACCTGTATATTATGCCCCACCACCTGCACCTTATGCTCCACCGCCAGCTCCATATGCACCACCCCCACAACCAGAATATGCCCCTCCCCCACCACCACCGCCACCTCCACCACCACCTCCTCCTCCACCCCCACCACCACCACCACCTGCACCTTATGCTCCTCCTGTAGCTCCATATGCACCACCCCCACAACCAGAATATGCCCCACCACCACCACCACCACCGCCGCCGCCCCCACCACCACCACCACCTCCTCCTCCTCCTCCTCCACCCCCACCTCCACCAGCTCCATACGCCCCACCTGCTCCATATGCTCCACCTCCACCCCCAGCTTATGCTCCACCACCACCACCACCTCCTCCACCACCACCACCACCTCCTCCTCCACCACCACCTCCACCACCACCGGCACCTTATGCACCACCACCTGTATTTTATGCCCCACCACCTGCTCCTTATGCTCCACCACCAGCTCCATATGCACCACCCCCACAACCAGAATATGCCCCTCCCCCACCACCACCGCCACCTCCACCACCACCTCCTCCACCACCCCCACCACCACCACCACCTGCTCCTTATGCTCCCCCACCAGCTCCATATGCACCACCCCCACAACCAGAATATGCCCCTCCTCCACCACCACCCCCGCCACCACCTCCACCTCCACCACCACCACCACCTCCCCCACCACCACCACCACCACCACCCCAACCACATGCTACTTACGGAGTTCCTGCATTTTTCTGATTCTTTGTAAAGTGATTTGACCAAGTGTATTTGGAAGAGTTGTTGCTTTGACTGTGTTACCATTGTTGATATGTACAAATAACTGTGCTAATTACAACTACTTTTTAAAAGTGATTGCTCATTTCATCCTGGTTCTAACCAAACTGTAGATAAACTTACAGTTCTGTTATAGTTCAGCTATAGTTAGTGTTTTTAACTACTGTTCATAAATTAATTAATAAAGAGTCTTATCCAAATTAATGTATAGCGGAGTCGAAGATTAGCTGTCCGCTTGTGAGTATGTCATTGTACGGTCACGAAAACTCAAGAACCGTTGCACTAATAGTGTTCAAATTTTGCAAAAATAATTATTATGCCACTGGAAAGATCCCATTGAAATGCTAGACGATTCCGCGCAGTAGTTATTATAAAATACTAAAAATATATTTTTAAATTTGTCATATAAGAATAAAATTAAAGATACCTACTTCTTTTTAATTGTTTACATTTTACGACCAACAATTTTCTTGTTTACTTTAGACAAAGACAACGACCTTTCCTCTAACCTCTTTGATTCATGGAGTACTTAAACAGTTTGACGTCTAAGAATGCATGATATTATAATTAGGTGAGTATCAATTTTACGAATGATTACGATGCGAAGAAGATGCACTGTTGGCTGTATCGAAATTCCAATCCATATTTCCCCTGCGACAAATACCATTTTCGAATTTCACTTAACTGAAAATCTATCAGGCTACATACGTCATTGACTATCTAGGATGAAGAATTGTACTAGATTCTTCCCGTCACCACATTTTCAGTTTAGTTTCAGGTATATGAAATCAAGAATTAAATCCATATTCCATAGTGAGAACATAAGACTTAACTAAAAGTTTTTGATTATTTTTCACAAACTGAAAACAGCGTTAATAACGTAAACAATTCATCCCACCATAAGAGGCTATCGCGTTACAACCAACCTTTTGAGAGCGAAGATGGAAGTATCACCTATGATAAGAAGAGTAAAGCAATTTCAATATTTCAAATTCAATTTATTTTCTCTTTAACATCCTAACATTGGTTAGGGTATTTCATGATAGCTCCACAGTTTCCCTTCATCATATTATTTGAAAGCTTCTTCATCTTTAACATAATTATTTTTCAAGAAAAGAGGGAAATGGAAATTTATCGATAATCTGTAAATCAGCAATGTGAAGTAGTTTCAGATAGGGTAGCTGAGTGGTTATAGTGCTCGCCTAGTAATCTCAAGCTCACTAGTTCTGTCCTGAGAAAAGACATTAGGTACCTTTTTGATAGCTCGAAACTGGGCCCAGCTGTTCCTGATCATGGGCTTTTAATAAACGGCTCTGGCTGATAAAACAGCTGATCAGTAACGAAGCTACACATATCATATCACACCATCCTTCACTCATACTGTATTGGGTTTATACGCACCTATTTTTAGGTAGCGTTCCCATCTCAATTGGCAGGCACTAACATCAGATGATCCAATCGGGGGTGATATGTCAAGAGGAGTAATAATTAAAGTCGGATAGACAAGTAAAAACATCCAATTAAACTAAGAAATGACAACTAAAATTTTCTCAAAACTTATTAATTTTTAAAACTGATCACATCCAAATCGGGCTAAGAAATCCAATATATCATCCTGTTTTTCTTCTCACCACACCAATCCATATTGTAAACAGACATAATGATCAAAACACCGACTTTATTCATGTCAAAAGTAAATTTAAGTCGTGTTAAACAACCATAACATAAAATGTCAAGTATTAACATAACAAGTAACACAACAGAACAAAGATGTTAATGGGTGAATCAACAAGTATTTATCTTCAGAGCAAACAATTTTGACAGCTGATTTTGACGGGGTTGTGACAGATTATTTGTTCCGACATTGTTGACAACCAAATATTCTTGTGCTCGACTACAAATTTCATTGTTCTACAAGTAAATAGTGTACGGCTTGGGGCGCTGGTTTAGTGGGTAGTATGGTCTTAGGGCCTAAGGATTCGGGTCCGAGTCCCGCTAATAACGAATTGATTTCAGATAAAAATGTGATAATGCCTTAAGCGGTGGGATCAGCTCTAAACTTAAAGTTTTATTTTAAACCCGTTTTCCTGGAGAATATCCTACAAAATCTATTACTTCATGTTTTTTGAGGGCCGTTCAAACAGTTGTGGTAGTTGTATGATACATTATTACAATCATTATAAGACGTAGGAAATTGGACAGTTTATAAAATAGGATTGTACCACAAATACTTGAAAAGAACCTGTATGGATAATAAACATAAAAAATGACGTTTTTGGCCCGAAAATAAACATTATTTAACATTGCTTAAATGGAACTGCCAAAACACACATGTTATGCTATTAGTATAGGATTCGGGTCAATAACGTAATTTGTTTATGTTTATGGCCCATCGGGTCTTTTCTAGTATTCGTGCATAATACAAACACAAAACCCATATGTGCACGATATTACACAATGTTTGCTTTTCTCTATTGACCTAACCTATATCGATGGACACATTAATGACTCTATAATGGACATTTTATCAGTGTCTCGGAAAAATACGTTTCACTGTTTAGACTAATTATTAACTAATGAAAATTTCTAACAGTTACTTTATTTACTAAATTTAAAAATCATATAAATTTGTAAAACAGTGATAATTATAGCTTTGTGTGTTGCATGGTTTGATTACATTTTATTTAGACCACGAACTAAGTTCAAGAAAATAAAAATAAAATATTTACATCATAGTTTAGGTACAACAACAATGCTTCAAAATATTTCAATAGCTTATGTTACACTTCTCTATATAATGCATTACATGGAATATACTACTATTAAGGTTCGCGATGATATAAAGTCAATTAATATTAATAATTTATAATGAGGCCCTGTTGATACTTAATGCGTTAAAACTTGCAAATGGTTATAAATTCAAGACTGCAATACTGGACTTCTAACTTGACCTTATTTCGTAATCCCTTGGAAGGACACTGCAATGAAAGCAAGCCAACACTTTCCAGTGCATCCTTGGAGATTAGATTTGGATTGGTTTTCAACAGAATTTTGATAAGAATCCTTAAATAGCTTTAAGTGTAAAATACGTTTTTTCTATGTCAAAATTTGATACGGTAAAATATGTTTTATTTAAACTTAAAACGCACTCGCATAAAGCAAGCTTCCAAGACGGAGTCCCGTCCCTTGCCTCTTGAGTGAAGACTTTTACGCCACACTACACTATTTCGACGAACTTCCCACGCAAGGATCTGGCTAAAAACAGCTGCTATTAGTCAGTAACATGTATGATATCTCAATCAAAATCCATAAAAGATTGTAATGACACTTTCAGGCATTATTATAAGCATTCAAGGATGGCTTGTGTGAAGTTTGGTGCAGATCCGTCAGAAGGGCTCCGCCCCAGTGGCTCTGGAGTTTCCCAATTTAACCTTATGAGTACTCATATTTAAATTGATTTAAAGAATCTTAACAGCTGTTTCAACAAAACAATTTGATTCTGTGATGTTCAATAGCACTAAAAAGGTTACAAGGTTTACCAACAGGGTGCAGCACTATTAATTGTTTAAATTTATGACAACAGCTAATTTGAACAAAATAACAAAATTGATATAACATGGGAAATGTCAAAGTAACATTGTTTACAGTTATGTTTATTTTTTTAATTTAATAAATAATTTTTGATACTGTGCGAAAAGGCGTTTTATTTTTTTCTGCATAAGTCATCAATCAATGTTTATAAAAATCCATTGTTGTATGCTTTATTTCCCCAAAAATAATGTCTAGGAAACGGAGTAGTAAATACTTTTAGTGGATTACTAAACGTGGACAATCAAAACTCGAATTTATAACGAATTCACCTAAAGCATAGAGTGGAAGATTGAACAAATGTTAGCATCCTACAATATGGTTGACATTCTATCACACTCCTAGGGTTTATTTCGTCCTATAACCTTGACAATATCATCTGCATCAGGCAAATGAATGGATTTCTCTCTTGTTATTCAGTAGTTGAGTAAGTTGGAATATTTGCCTCTGATCTCTACGATATTGACTACAGATTGTTTGATATTGGCCACAGACATGTAGTTCAATCTTTAGATTTCATCTCTGTAATCCAAGATTGATCTATGTGTTTACTCAGATCGCCGTTGATGGATTTAAGCTTATAGAGGCCAAACAAGGAATTATTTTTGCATGTAGAATTCAAACTCGGGAAAAGCAACCGAATGTGGTGTGTGTATTATTTTAGTTAGAGTAGTGCAAGTATCTCTTAAGAAAAGTACGGTTCTCCAGATTCGACTGTAAGTGGTTGTTGTAATAATTCAGCTCTTTCAGCGAATTTCCCTATAGGGAAGTAGCTATTACCGTAGGTCTCATGGTAAGATTTGACCCCGGAACTGATTTACTTTTATCATTTTGATGTCCCTAGAGGCCAAAAACACAATCCGTTCAAATTCATATATATATGTCCGTTAGCACGATAACGGGAGCAAAAATGGCCCAATTTTGATGAAATTTGGTATAATTAAGCGTGTAAACTTACATTTATTCGAACGAGTTCGCGAACCAGCATGATTGGAAAATGAGAACGGGGGTTTATGGGGGGTTTTATAGGGTAAAAATGAGTTTTCCCGTTTTTCACCCTAAAAACAAAATTTTGCAATTTCTTTCTAAACAGTTTTGAAGAGCTTAAAAAAGAAATAATTTAGTATATTGAAGCTCTGTTGTAAAGGTTACACAGAAAATTAATAAAAGTGGAAGTTTAAAATTTCCATGTTATACTTATGGAGAAAATTAAAACTGTTGTTGTTTACTTGTTTGTAAATATATGTTGATAAAGTTTGTCAAATTTATTTATTTCATCCTAACTTATGCCATTAAAGTTTGGTCAAAACACTTTTCACCTTCCCCATAGCAGCAAACCTAAGCACTCGTTAAATCTAATATTATTTAAATTGGAAATAAATTTGTCTTATTTATGGAAATATTTGAGTAAAAATGTAATCAGACAAGTTCAAATTCGCTTAGCCTGCAGGTTTGCTGAGGAGGGGGTATTTATTTCCATGGATGTTATAACAGAAACTGTATGGATCATAAGCATGAACAAACAACGTAATTTGCCTGAAAGTAAACATGACTGTATTATTATTTAAATGGATCAGTCAAAAATCATCCAAACCAGCTGTTACGATTATTAGTAGAATATTCGGGCCAGTGACGTCATTTGTTTTTGTTTATGATCCATACAGTTTCGGTTCTATTATCCGTGGTTACATCTATTCAGCACTGAGCTAAAATTATAACTGGAGGTAGCACTGTCATGGCAGAAGTATGTCAAAAGCGTGTCGCTGATTTTGTTAGGTTGGTATAGCAGTTGGTTTTCTTATCATAGCAATAACATGGCTTCTTATACAGTAACTAGGTTGGTATAGCAGTGAGTTTTCTTGTCATAGCAATAACATAGCTTCTTATGACACCCACCTCACGCAAACATGGCGGCTGGCGACACGCATCTTTGACATTCAGTGCTACCTCCAGTTAGAATTATAGCTCAGAGCTATTCAGTAGCAAATATGTGGAGTTTTGTTTATTCCAAAAACGAACCTTGGGAATTGATAACGTTAAGAGCATCGTTTGCATAGTGGGGATTAATAGCTTAAATATTACGTTATAAAATGTAAGAAGGCAGGGTTTGTCTAAAATAGTACAGGGTGTTTTAACGCAACCTAAATTGCAAGTACTGAGATACCGAATCCGTGGAAAACGAAATGTATACTTACTCGCACGAATACTAGAAAAATACCGGTATGGATCATAAACATAAACAAATGTCGTTGTTGGCCCCAATCCTACACTAATAGCATTGAACATATGTTTTGGCAGTTCCATTTAAGCAATGTTAAATCATGTTTATTTTCAGGCCAAAAACGTTATTTGTTTATGTTAATGATCCATACCGGTATTTTTCTAGTATTCGTGCTTACTCGTTGAGCTGAGCTGGTGAAATCGCCTTGAGGATGAAAAAACCACCTAGGCAACAATGCATATCAGCTGATCGGCAATGAAGTAAAGGAAACATGGTTAGACACTTATGAGCTTAATTTGTCCTTTAACAGTGTATCGCAACTCAGTACTTAAAAATATAAATACCTCAAATAAATGACATCCAGATAAGTGCACTTTACCCAAGGACGATTATGATAGCGAATATTTAAACAGAAATTGTATGGAACATAAACATAAACAAATTACATGATCCCAAAATCTTATGATAATAACATTAACATATGGTTTTACATTTTTTACTTTCTCCCATTATACCATAGTATATGGAGAAAAGTATTGTTTTCGTCAAAATTTTAGAGTTTGAGTTCTGATTGGATATTTTTCTGAGTGGTGTTTTGGGCCCCCCTGAACCCAAAAAAAGTGGTTTTCGAAGTGATGTCTGTGTATGTGTGTCTGTGTGTCTGGATGTGTACGGAGTTTGGGACTACACCTGTGGTTCGATTTCAATGAAATTTCATGTGTAGGTTCTAATACATAGTATCTCCAGGCCTTTTTTAAATTTTGATTTTTAATGCTGATATTCCCATAAAACCCCATAAAATAACGGAAAAATTAGATTTTCTCGAAAGTGGCTCGAACGATTTTCTAAAAGAAAATTGTATGTTACAGTCCTTTAAATTCTGAACAAAATGGTACGACTTCTATTTCTGTAAAAAATACTGTTCAAAAGTTATAGTAAACTATGTTATTTTCCCATAAATAACCCCATGAAATAACGAATAATAGGATTTAAAAACTAGTATTGATTTAACTAAATATGTTATGGTTCTTAAAATTGTAAAAATTTTTTTCATATTTTTGAAATTTTGATTTTTAATGGGGACAAAAAAATTTTTGATCCCCATAAAATAACGGAAAATCGGATTTTTTGAGAAAAGCTGATTTTGATCAAATTTGATATGTTAAGGTCCTTTTAATAAAAAAAAATCGTACAACACCCCATTGCTGTAACAATTATGGTTCAAAAATGATTGCAACTTTTGTGATGTTTAACTCTAAAATATCATGTTTACTCTCACCGCTTACCCATGATAAAGGTTGTTGACAAGCTTATGGGAGAAAGTATGTGTCAGAATGCTGATACCGTTTATTTAAACATTTCTTTTCTAATAATACGTCGCAGATGTTAACATTCGGGCTAGTGAGGTATTTGTTTATGCTTATGATCCAATACTGCTTCTGTTATAATGTTCGTGATTATGAAACACCGTAAAATTTCACTTTAGTGACTTAACAACTGATAACTCTCTTATCATCTTCTGCAGAAGCAGACGACCGTAGTTTTAGATTTCATAACCCTAGCGGGAGTGCAGCAGGCGAAGTAGGCCTTCAGTCGAAGCGAAGGTTGCCCGGAAGGTCGATAAGTTTTAGATTTTCCTCCGGAGTATATTCAGTCACGGCGCGGGTGTTGGGAAAAGTGCGCGAAAACTAAATTCAAAGTCTGTCAAATAAACATATCTCGTGTCAAAATTGTGTATATTTAGACTACTAAACTGTGCTGAGTGAAAACATGTACCGTGTTCTAACGTGCTTCTTCCTCGCTGCCGTATGTGCTGAACCACCCAACATTGTTATCATCGTTGCTGACGACTTGGTAAATCTATTTTTGAACATGGTAAAATTGGCAAAGGCTTCGGAAATCTATTTACAAAATTAGCTGTATGTACATATTGTTTGTTTAATGAAATAGGACTTTGGACTTCTCATCCTATTTTCCAAACGTTTCTATGTTTATTGTTATAAACATAAATACCTGCCGGTATTTATTTTGAAAATTAAAATATCTTTCTTTTTTTCTGAATATTATTTTGATGTGCAGTCGTTGGCTAAAGGGGTTTCTCTCATTTTGGTTTCATTTTGTTTTACAATTTGTCTTTATTTTTATATTTTTTTATAGTTACCATATACGAAAAGTTTATACATAGTTTTATATAGATAAAATATTTTTATTGGTTAGAAAATTAAATTAAATCATTAAAATTAGAAACAGGACATAACCTTAAAATTATAGTTACTAAAATTTAAGTAAACTAAATTAAATTAAAATATGGAGTAGGTTTAATCTTTCGTAATATAGCCTAACCAGGTTGTTGTCAATCCTTGTATGTCTTAAAACACATTTATTGATTCAAATGTAATCAATTTTATTTAAAGAAATTATTTGTAATAAAAATAATTTAGAAGTGGAGTGGCAAAGTAATTTTTAGTGGCATATAATATAGACTAGCTGTGTGCCCGTTCTACGCACGGGGATCTTATAGTAGTCAGTTGAAACCTTCTTATATTAAGATTAAGAACAGCAGTTAGTTTGCATATTTGCAGATACGCTGGCAAAACTATTATATATAAACCTTCGCAAATACAGTATCTGACAGTTCAAGCCAAAATAAATGCTTCGCAATTAAATGTCACCCGGATCGTTATGGTCCATATGTCCAATGATTAAACTAAAAAATGTTTTATAGATCCATGAAGCGTAGCCCTAAAGTAGGCCTATAATTGAAAGTTACTTTCCACATCGGTTAACTTAAACGTATTTAAAGTACTACCTCAACCTCACCATTTAACACTTTATTCCGGTTGACATTTTCAGTATCAAAGGTGCTCTTGTCCATTCCGTGAAACACTGAGAAATAAGGACATTAATGCGTTACCAACAGACATACACACAACAATCCAAAAAAGGCCACGAACTATTGATACATAAACAATATAAAGGCGTAAACAATTCATGATGGTTTGCCCAACAAATGTTTTACTCAAATAGGTTATCATTTTCTTAGCATACCGGGTAAGCTAAGATTTGGAATCCAGACAGAAAAAGCAAAACTTATACAGAGTTAAGACATCACTTAAATTGAATACGGACGGCTCTAATAAATAAGGTGCAACACCAACGATAACTAATTTGTAAACTACAGTGATGTGTTGGTACAGGGTGGCGCAGATGGATCGGGTGGTTTTAAAATACTGGTTAAACTGTCAATTTTAAAGGTATTGGAGTGAAATAAAGTGCAAAACGTGTAGGCCTAGTTACAATGGAAGTTTATTTACAAAAAAATAGTTAGGCCTAAGTTGGTTTTTAAAAATTACATGCATCAAATGCCTTCCTTCTAGAGCGACGCGTTCTTGGAGTCGGTCCTTGAGGTTCCGCATTGCTCGCTCAAGCACATCACCAGGAATTGATGTGATTTCGTTGTGAATTGCAGCCTTCAGCTCCTGAAGCATGGGTCTACATGAACAAACCCCGGACCATTCAGGAGCTGAAGGCTGCAATTCACAACGAAATCACATCAATTCCTGGTGATGTGCTTGAGCGAGCAATGCGGGACCTCAAGGACCGACTCCAAGAACGCGTCGCTCGAGAAGGAAGGCATTTGATGCATGTAATTTTTAAAAAACTAACTTAAATAATTTTTTGTAAATAAACTTCCATTGTAACTACACGTTTTGCACTTTATTTCAATCCAATACCTTTAAAATTGACAGTTTAACAAGTATTTTAAAACCACCCGATCCATCTGCGCCACCCTGTACCTACGTAAAAATGATTCTAGCAGCTACCAACGGTTCTAAGGAAAAGAACCAGTACCTACGTAAGAACCTACCTAAGAACTATAGTACATCCGACCAATTAAATACATTAATATCTAGTCCCGAGTTAATTGATCTCTTGCTTTTAGATTTTCTCGTAAAAAGTTATAGCGTAAACTTATCGGTGTCAGTTTGAAAAAAAAAACAACCTTACCCAAACAACTTTTTGTTATTTAATAGATTACGCATTCTCTAAACAATGATTAGTATATCTATTAACATTAGAAGGAAATGTGACGAAAATCACACAATGTTTGGTGTTTAGGTCATTTGTAATTATATTTCTTAAGTAGGTAGGCCATGTATTCTATGGAAAAGTACCGTACCGGTATTAAGGATCGTCGTCAAAAAGGTTGTTATGAATAAATATGTAGGCTTACGTACCCAAGATATGAGCTATGGGCCTATTGGCTGTATGGTCCAGCGATTGCATCACACGGTGAGTAGAAACAGAAAGTGACACATTGGAAAAGCGAGTTTAGCACTTCCTCTGTTAAACCTCTGTTACAATCACCCACTGCAGTTGTGATTTTTTACTTTACACTTTACACAACCGCCATTGAAGCGCCGTCAATGAGTGGAAACCTTTTTTGTAAGCTATTGGCGACGATCATTTCAGTGTCCAGCCCTACACAACACTGATTCAAGGTCTTCTTTCTGGTTGTCAAAACTCAAGAAACATTTTATAGGCCCTACTCAAAGAATTTCTGGTTCCGATTTGGACGATGTCTAGTTATTTAATTTCATTTACGGTTACACTATTAGACTATATTATTGCACTTGCGATTAATTAAATCAGTTATGTAAGAAAAACGTTTTTAATCTCACTTGGTTGGGATTTGCTTTCAAAACGTGATTCGAAATGGTTGCGGTATTTGTAAACAACATTTGTAAACATATCATTGACAGCTAGAAAAAATAATCTTGATCCGAACAGCTGTTCGTTATTTCATAGACGATTATGTGATAAAAATTGAACGAAAATTTGACAAAAATCGCACAAAACTGCATTTTAGAACGTCCGTAATTTTATTTACAAAGTAGTGAGGCTATATTTAAATCACTAAAGACACTCTCGCCAATCCAGTGAATACATTAAAATGACTTGGATCTTGATAGGTATTCTGGTTTTCACGGAGAAGATTGCGTAAAATGCCATCTTGAGTGTTACAGACAAAGGGAAAGACAGACAGACAGACAGACAGACAGACAGAAATAGAGATAAGACTCGTTTCTGCTTCTTTAATGTATAAAACGTAAAAATAACCTAAAAGTATATAATTCTGAGCAAAGTACAGACAAAACTCTAATTTTATTTATATAGATTAACATAATATGATTAATTACATACTCACATTTTTTGTTGTAAGACTGTGAAATTATTTTATATTTTGAATTACAAAAACAGTTTTTTGGAATTTTCTTAAGTATGGTAATAGATTAAAGTGATCTGTATAAATTTTTTTATTAAAGTGGGTTTTGTTGAGTGATTTGCTTGTTTTAATTTACTTCAGAATTGAGTTGTTTTTTTATATAATTTCTCCAGCCAAAAATGATTACAGTATCATTGTTTTAGATGTGTTCGTCATAACTAACATAAAATGTTACAGAAAAAAACTAGGCCTTAACAAATCTACAATTTGAAGGTATAGGTATACCAAAAGTATACAACCAATTAAGTTCACCCTTTAATTTTTAAAATTCAAATAAAGTTTTTTGATGAAGAAATAATCTTAAAAAACCTCAATTCATCATGTCTATTAATTATTAGAATGGGGAAATCGGATGAAGTAGAGCCATTGCGAAATCCAACTAAGACTGTCCAACTTTTTACATAAATCAGGCCAAGACAATAAATAACCAGGCAATGCTGGTACCCTTGTAATTTCTGGCATTTTCATGTAATTCTACAACCCAAAGCTATAATATTGCAACAGTTTCTCTTCATGGACTTTTCTAAAGTTAAAGTTTACTAATTTAAATATAACAGTCCATTTTCTTCAGGATATTCATTCAAACTAGGCATATTTAGTTTTATACACCTTTTAAGAATGGGAAGTTATCTGTAACTGTACTTTGTTTTTATTTACTGTTGAATGAATGCTAAATAACATTCCATTACTGTGTCAGGATAAGTGGTTTGGCTATAAAGGGGTTTTCCAAGTTAATTCCTTTCACTACTAATTTATTTTTACCTGGGTTAGAAAAAGAAAATTTAGCTACTTACGTATTATCATTGACTATTAACCTATATAGTCAATGGTATTATTGAGGTTTTTTTGCACTTTTCCACAAAAAAAAAAAAAAAAATATATCTGACTATCTATATTCTTGATGGTTCCTTTTGGTGACCTTGAATGTCTAACATGTTCCCTAAAATTGTAGAAAATTTATTTTTTTTATTTTTGGGATCTCAAAACTACTAAATAGGGTGATAAACACATTGTTATGATAGCAAAGCATGACAAAACAATTGTGGAATACACAAAATCGACATAGATAAATTACAGTTATTATAAAAAGGTATCTCGCTCATATCCTCTTACAGGTAAAATCCTCTCATTCTGCCATGTGTCATTCATTGACATGAGTATTTTTGCTTAACTACAAAGAATTTGCAATTCTGTTGGTGTTAACTAACTGATGTTCACTACTACATAATCATTCCAGTTTTCAAAGAGACTAAGATCATAGTCATGAATTTGAAACACTTTCTTATCATCCTTAAAGACCTGGTGGCAATTTGAAGGTATGATTGATTGATGTGTTTGATTGTCTTCCCTATAACAATTTTGTTAATTACTCTGTTTACCTCCTGGTATAACGGAAGTAAAGCGTTGACTGTAATATCCATCCTAGTATAAGCAAAAAATTTAGTTTATATCTTTATACTCAAGTGTGGATATGAAATACAGATAAAATATCTTTAAAATTACAATAAATAGAATGAGATGTCTGATTGGAGATCCAAAGTCAACATTTAATCTGTTACAGCTCAATTTCTCAGTATTCTTCCACATGAAAACTAATATTATATTGCTAAAACTACACTATCTCAACCTGAAATATATTTTGGGTTCTGTTGTTTTTTATCTAAGGCAGAGGTATTTTAAAATGTTTTTTTCTAAGGAATCGGTCCAGTCCTTGTTCTTGCTGCTTTCTAACAACATTGACTTTGTAAGATAGCATCATTAATTGGTAGCCAAATGACAAGTGGAATCTGTGTCCAGTAACAATCTTGTCTGGAATCGAACCAGCGACCTTCAGATTTGAAGGCACGAGCTACGATTTTCTTATGTAAGCTATAGCTCTCTCCAAAAAGAAAATCCAATCCGCCACCTAGTTTTATTTTAATTTAACAATAATGAGTTCAATTTTTTAAGAGAAGCGACAATTCTTATAGTCAGTATATTGTGTAGGGGTGGAACGACGTGAGTTTTCACGGCTCCAGTCAGATTCTGACTCCAAACATTGATGCTCTCGCTTACGATGATTTGATCCTCAATCGTCACTACGCTCAGCCATCCTGTTCTCCTTCTAGAGCTGCCCTACTCTCCGGTAGATACCCGGCGTACACAGGTACTACATCTTCTTGATCTACACATTTGAGATGTGTTCACTTTTAACTATTACTCTACAAATTTTAGGATATGAGGGGGCGCCTGCACAGATTGGGCATTTTAATAGCGTTCGAAACATGTTTCCGAGGTAAAACCAATAATGCAATACTTTACCTTTTAAACATAACTTCGTAACTAAAAAATGTTAAATTAAAAAATGAACATTCATATAAAATAATATATGATTGTTTTGGACAGTTACAAGGGATGATTACAACTACTAATTTACAGTATTTACAATGTAGATTGATGAGCTACACATAAAGAGTGATTTACCTTCCTCAATTAGGTTACAATCATCAATATAAGTAGCCTTTTTTAAATAAAGTCCATTTTCTTAAACTATTTCGTCTCTTGTTTTCAATCTGACTGCGGTTGAAAATTAGACCGAACGTAATCAGCTTACGTTTCAATTCATATTTTAAAACCGTTACCAAGAAAGTTGGTTAGAAGAACATGGACTTTGGAAAGCGCAGTCTAGAAATAAATCTAGGCTAGGGGTGCTACAACCTAAAGGAACCTTTACCTACCATTCTTCGATTCGTCCCTGCACTAGATCATAAGCTAGTCAATGACAACTAAATCGTAGCAATCGTTTTTGTGGGACAGGAGAAAAAGCGATTTACGGAGTAAACCTAGTTTATATTGTAATTATGCTTATTTATGATAACCAAACTAATATTTGAAAATCTTTTTGACTTTTAGGAGTACAGATGCCTTTTAAAGCCGGGACAGCTTCAGCTTTACCGCTTCATTTTACACTTTTACCCGAGGTAAGAAACTTGCTTTAAATCTCAACGTTACAGATGCATATTTCATCTTACTCTAAACATTTTAAACTGACGTGAGATATAAAATATGTTATTTCAAGTAAAAATCTGTGGTTTATCTAGTTTAAAATGATTCCCCACAGATAATCCTTAGTTTTAGTTTCACTTTTGAAGTCACATAACAAAAAAAATTTAAAATATTTATGTGAGTGTAGCTCATCAAGAAACGCAAAACTGTGCCTAAAATGTGCTTCAGCTTGGTAGGAAAGCTTCTTACTACTATTTTTTAATTTTAGCTTTGGAAACACGAGCTTGTAAGTAAATCTGACCAAAGGTCTGATCAAAGGCAAAACTATCAAGCAAAGATGTCACTTATTTCTTAATGTATCAAAACAATGTCTGAGGTTTTAAGGGTTGGTTCTAAAGTTTGTTTGTCAAATTTTTGAAAATGAAAAACGAAACTTTGCAGCTTTAGTACAAAATATTTCCGCACTGGGTTCCAGTACTTATCCAGACTGGGGTACCGATCACATCTGGTTGGCAAATGGCATCTGGGGTGCCACAAGACTGAGTATCTTCCCTGTAGTCGCGGGTTCCACTCTCACTTCGGCTTTTGGAACGGCTACCTCGGCTACTTTGACGGCATCCATCTAGACGTAAGTCACTTTTAGTTTATCAATGGTTATCGAGTTAAGTGTTCATATTTTAGTTTAATTTTATTTGTATCCTCTACCTATTTAATAAAAAGTTAACATACCTGTAGTACTGGAAAGATTTTGTATAACTGAACGATAAGTGCTCACCTGACGATCAAAAGTTCGCCAGTTTGTTCCTGAAAAAGTCAGACTTTTTTATGGTTTGGAACTGGTCCCAAATTACCTTTTTACTAATGAATGTGTGAATACAAACATGAAACAAACAAAATATAGACCTACATGATAACAATAACACAACTGTTTTGATTTTCAGGGCATTGGTGGAATTGACTCTCGTCGGAACAATGCTGGCGCTTGGGAAGAATTTGTCGGTCGCTATGCAACCGATCTTTTTGCAGAGGTACACTGCATTTTGTTTATATAATAACAATGGAAAATAATGTAGCTTACTCCAAATTACCTGACAATTGAGTATATGTCTTGTCAATGTACACGTGTTTGCATTACTTATAAGTTGTCTGATTTACAAATAATTCAAATCAGCTGAGCGCCTTTTTCTGACTTGGATAAGACAGTACAATGTGCCTTCTTGATAGTGTAGATATTTTATTGAAAATTATTATAGAAAATAATAATAACATAAACAATACTTCTTGTTGATCTATAATTGAGATCGAGAATAGTTGAAGAACATAACCATTATAATAATAATAATGGCTTTAAATCTCACCAGGATAGTTAACGAAGAAGGATTGAATCATTGACACCGTTTCTGAAAATCCAGAGAGCAAACTATAAAATGGTTTTCATTACTGCATTGAAAATATATTCTGTCTTGTTAATGAATTTACAATTGGCTTAAAGACAAAGAACAGAATTTCAGGGTATCTTTACGTTAAAACTAAAACCTTAAAACATTAGTTTTTTTGCAACTAAGGAATCCATTTCCTGATTCTAATCATCCAGCAAACTCAAAACATTTAAGGAACGTTGAAACGTTCGAACCTTTAAAAAAACTTTTCTTGAATTACCGTACAGCTCAACCAATCATTTCAGGAGGCAACATCTATCATCAAGTCCCATGACGTCACAGTTGGTCCTTTGTTCTTACAAGTCGCTCTTTCTGCGCCTCACACGGGCAACAAAGGTTCGGAGTTTGAAGTACGAAATTTGGCGGAAAATGAACGTCAACACTACTACATTAAGGATCTTCATCGCAGACTATATGCAGGTACGATTTATTATGTTTGAGGGATTATTGTGGATACTTTCCATTACGATTAGTCAAACACAAGTTTTCACATGATTCGTACTTTGGGTACAACTTAGAGAATGATACAGAGGCAATATTTAATGGTACACTTAAGTTGTTTCTAACGCTAAAGCTAGTGTCCAGGGCAAAGACTCCCTTTTGCTCCCCTCGCCCAAATGTACCCTACCACAATGCTCACGGTGGAGGAAGACCCTGAGCCTGTGCGAATTCCCGCACAGTGCTCTCCGTTCAGGCTCTTCTTTGCTCGTCACAAGTATATTTCTGCCCCAACATACCAGCTGATAGCGCACGGTTGTCCCATAAGCTTGTATCATCTATCTGTACCTTACTTCTCTGTGGGTACAATTATATTTTTTAAGACTATATGTAGGGACTAAAAGTAAATATACAAGAAAATAATTTAAATTTTTTCTAGACGATTTTATTTAGCTGTAATATTTTAGCAAAAACATTTATTTGGAATATGAGACAAAAAGACACCTTTTGTATATACAAAAAAATGAGCAGTTGTTTCATCTTAAATTCATTGTCACGAAAATTAAGGTAACTATTAAAATTGTCCTTGACATTTTCAAGCCACTGCTTGCTATTACCGCACTAAGATTATAAAAGGATAATCTACTATCTTACGGCATTCTTATGTTGATAACTCCACTGTCTGGAGATAATGAGATTAATCTTATATCATGATATTTCCTGTTTCAATGGTTGTAAAACTTGACTGTAATGTCTGTGCGAGTTGATCTCTTAACCTTGGATAGGTAACTAAAACTTGGTATTTTCCCATTTTAAATTTCCTAATTTTTTAAATTGGCCAAATAGCTCAGATCCGGTTTATTAGCCATAGACTGTATTGTACACCTAAACTAATACTCCTATGATGGTATGATCATAAGCACAACTATGTGGTTCATGGGAATTCTATAAAAATGTGTATTCATTTTTATTTATTTCCTAACTTCTCATTCTAATCATTAAAGGAAAGCACCATCAATTAAAATTTGTCCATGTTACAATTTAAAGAAAATTCACGCTAATGCAGGACAGTACATTCATTGGTACCTACCTACCTATTAACAATATGGGATTCATTTTCCAATAATGAAAAATCATGTTTAAAGTAAAAATAAAAAAAAACCACATGAAAGATATATCCACATTGTTGTATAAACTTTGGTTTTTTTTCATTCCTTTGAAAATAGAGCTGAAATTAAAATTTGTATACAAAATGTACTTGGACATTGAACGAGAGCTTTAGTACTAATAATACTTCACAAACGCTAATTCGATTCCTCACAATTCCATTAACATCAAACGTCTAAACTTCAGATCAGTAGTTACCATGGTGTTTCTCAGGAATGGTAAGAGGGATGGACGATGCAGTCGGAGCTATAGTCGAGGCACTGGGATTGCGTAACATGCTCAACAACTCGATCGTGCTGTTCACCTCTGACAATGGAGCTCCAACTCTCGACCCTCGATGGAACTACTCGAACTACGGCTCAAACTGGCCTCTTAGAGGGGTAAGTTAGGTTAAATAGGTGTATTCCATTTATGTTAAGCAATTTTGGGCGTGAGGCTTGCTCAATGGGAGAGAGTCCATGAAGCACAATTATCACTACTTTATATTATACCCAAAATAGAGCTCTTAACTGTAACTGCATTTCCAACCATGGGAGGTTTGACAAAAGAGGATTTCTTCAAGTTTAAAGGTCTAAAGACTCTCTAACGCTCTTCCTGAAGAACTAAAATCTTTTTTGGTTGAAATTGTTGTCACCGACAGTGTAATATTTTTGAATGAGGGCCAAAAGTGTAATATATTTGATTGAGGGCGCCATGCGCAAATTGGGTATTTTAATTAGGTTTATAACTTGTTTCCGAGACAAAACGAATAATACAATACCCTTTGGCCTTCAAACATTCAATTGGAGGATCAACTGTTGAATGAGAACTCATATTTAAAACCCCTATAAAGAAATTTGGTCAACAGTAAGGAACCAAAGAAACCAATCAAATTCCATGGAGGATGATGTCCTAAAATGATTACCATTTGTCATTCCACTAGATCATAAGCTATTAAACGATATCCCAATCGTAAACATCGGTTAAGAAGGATGGATGAAAAAGATATATTACTCTGAAAACCCTTTGCGCGTATAAAAACTATTATGTATGACCTTCACGGAGGAGAAACATAAGCTAAAACCATTTGAAATCATGTGGGGTGAAAATTCTCAAAACTTGAAAACAGAGAGCGTTTTTGTTTCCACATTCAGTATACCACTAAACTAATTAGTCCTATTGACGTATGAACATGGCCAAGGTACTTTTCTGGTCGTAAGGTCTAAGATTTGTGTTATAACACATTTGATTATATACATTGATCATGTATATTTTTATTAAATACTCAATGTGTAATTTTTTGCTCTAAGATGAAGCTGTCTTGTCACGAGGGAGGAGTCCGCGTGGCGTCAGTCTTGTGGAGCCCCCTGGTGGCTGGAGGCAGAGTCTCTGATCAGCTGATACACATGGTCGACTGGCTACCCACCTTGTACACAGCAGCTGGTAAACTAGACTCTAGAACCATTGATTATTGTATACTGAAGAAGACATCCTATAGTGACAAAGTATTTATTTATTCAAAAGTAGTGTACAGTAGTTGAATGTAAATCAACACTTAATGAGAGTGCTGTCAAAAGTCTTTTTTTACGTGTTACCATGGAAAAGTAAGGTACAGAGAAAACATGCTTGGGACAACCGTGCGCTTTCAGTTCTGGTATGTAGTGTAGGAAATATACTTGGGACGAGCAGGGAAAAGCCTATTTGGCGAGCACTGTGCGGGAATTCCTACAGCATAGGGTCTTCCTCCACCGTGAGTGTTGTAGTACATGAGGACGAAGGGGGTGATGTTGGATTTTACCCTAGACACCACTCAAGTGTATCATTGAATTTTTCCTCTGGTTAACACGTTCGCTGCAGCCCCAATGGCAGGCGTAGCACCAGTGCGGCGCAGCGTCGAGCGTGAAATAAAATATTTCGGTCCGATGAATAGCAAATGATGTGCGGTGATATTCTGCGCTACGACGAGAGTTGACGTAGTTTGCTGAATAACTCACAGCAGCTCTGTCTGGAACGTAGCCGGTCCCATTGTAATGCTAATTGGAGGGAGGGATTTTAGATTGGAGGGATTTTACAGTGAAATTTACTACCAACCTACACCACAATAAAGCAACCATTCCTATAGCTAAACGCAGACATAAAAATACCCGTTCTAGAAATTGAATGGGATGTAGGCAATGTCGCCACTCACGGGTGTGCGTTCGGGGTAACAGAAAGGAACTAGAGCACTCACCGGTGAGTAGCCCGCAACTAACGTGTTAATGAGAGTGGCCCTGGTTTTGGTTTCAGGGTCGGTTGAAGAGAGGGTCTACTGTAAAAAATAGGCATTGTACATGACAGTGTTTTCAAAATGTTGTTGATACTATAAACACCAAATAATTGTACTAGATAAATAATTGTAGAACCTCCACGAAACATTTTTATTATTTCTATCTGAAAATACACTCTGTTCTGTACAGGAGGAGCAGCTGAAGATCTGGGGGAGATGGATGGTGTGAGTCAATGGGAGACATTGAGAGACGGAAAATCAACGGCCAAACGTACAGAAATACTGGTGGAACTGAACAACGTCAATGGGAACGAGGCACTTATACAGTGGCCTTGGAAAATAGTCAAATGTAAGAAATGTTTCTAAATCTTCCTTTTAAATAGGTATATACTAATCAAGTTGGGAAAGCAGGCTTATCGGAATGGGAAAGAATCCATATTGAAACGAGAATTATAAAAATGTAGGCCTAATTGACTTACTTGACTTATTTCCTGCAACCAGACCTCTCCAGCGTACTCGGTTGGGAGTGATTCTCTTCATCTCCAACAATACATGCGTATAGTAAGTAGTAGAATGAATTAATCAGAATTCCATTTTATATATTCCTATGGGTTCTTCAATTAGACTACGGAGATTGTTTCAAGCTGTTAAAACCACAATACAATGTACTTTGGCTAATCACTCAACAAAGCCAAATCATTTGCCAAATCTATTGTCTCCAGCATGATTTTCACTATGTAGTTGTGAAATCCGTTAGGAAGAGTTATTCAAGATATGTCATTGACTGTATGAAACTCCAAACCACCCCTACATAAAGAATATTGTTTATTTCCTCAAGCTTTCATAGTTAACAAAATACCTTCTTACAATTGAAACATAACCTCGCTTACAAACCAACACAATAATACGGGTCCAATGAAACAGTTATACAGGGTTTTCATAAATGAATGGTGCAGTTTTGAATGCTTAGGCTATAAAATAATTACTGTGCGAGGTAGAAAAAAATGGTTGGCACCTCTGAATTCTTCAGCTCATTTAGTTTTATTACTCTGTCTTAGAAAACAGCTGTTTCATTGTTGTTGGTTAAATTGTGCAACAACCTCAAATATTCGATTCTGATCAAAAAACATGTTTTCTGATCAAGAGAAAGCCAAGTGTGTGCTGTTGTTGAGTGAATTAAGGTCTGTTGTTTTAGTGCAAAGGGCTTTTAGGGGATTATTTAACAAAGCTCCACCTCACAGAAATAACATTATGCGTTGGAGTAAACAATTCTTAGAAACTGGATCGGTACAAAAACGGAAGACTTCTGGGAGACCGCCTGTATCAGAGGTAACAATTCAAAACGTTAGCGAATCTTGTCTTAGAAGTCCAAAAAAATCTCTTCCACGTCGGAGTCTGGAGCTTGGAATCCCAGTGACAACTCTGCATAAAATTTTGCATAAAAGGCTGCATTTTCATGCGTATAAAATTCAACTGTTGCATGGTATCAAACCGAATGATAAAAATAAACGTGTGGAGTATGCAACTTACATCTTAAATCAGATTGAAGAAAATGAATCATTTTTAAATGATGTAATGTTTTCAGATGAAGCAACTTTTCATGTTAATGGGTGTGTTAATAGACACAACGTTCGAATTTGGGGTTTTCAACGTCCCCATGAGATCATCGAAAAAATCCGAGACACACCAAAAGTAAACGTCTGGTGTGGACTGACTAAAAACCAAGTAATTGGACCTTTTTTCTTTGCCGAGAAAAGTGTTAATGGTAATGTGTACCTGGATATGCTAGAAAATTTTTGTTTTCCTCAAATTGACGAGTTTGATAATGTCAATATGATGTATTTTCAACAAGATGGAGCACCAGCCCATTATAAGGACTTTGTTCGTGTTGCTTTGAATAACAAGTTTGAACAAAGATGGATAGGTCGAGGTGGCCCAATAGCATGGCCTCCTAGAAGCCCGGATTTGACTCCATGCGATTTTTTCCTGTGGGGATACGTAAAAAACATAAAATCCGTGATGTTGCTCATTTAAAGGAAAGGATTTGTGAGGCAGTATCATCGGTTACAAGAGACATGCTGCACAGCGTATGGGCCGAGATCGACCATAGATTAGATGTCTGCAGAGCTATCGGTGGTGGACACATTGAAATGTAAAATGCATCAGTATATAAAACTGTTTTTAATGGAGATTCTAATGAAATAAATATTTTTAATGTACTTTATATAGTTTTCTTTTAATTTAAAGTTAAAATTGCACCATTCATTTATGAAAACCCTGTATTTTTAAGCAATTTTAATCACAAAGTTGAAACAAAACAAAGTCTAATATAATGATACATAGTTCTGGCTACAAGATAAAGTGACCCCACGGTGCAATGACGTCATCGTGAGGAGACGTCTTATCTGATTGGTTGCTGTACAACGAAGTGGAGGGGGGACTAGCGACGTCACCCCCACCTCACCCCTAACCCAGCCATTCTGACCCTGGTGGCGCGGGGGGTTGCGTAACTGGCTCATCCGCTGAGGCTACCTGCAAGAAGAGTGGAAATTTGTCTAAGCGTAAAAATTGTGAAGTTTAAATTTAAAATGTCTTTGAATAGGGATTTTTATTAAGTCCCTGGATAGAACCAGCTGGTCATACTCAATAAAGCTAATATATAATTTTAAAATCGTACTATTGCTTGGACTTACTATTACTTTTACTTTCGAATTTTAAGTTTTACTCTTTTGTATAGTGGCTAGTTTTACTGTTTAACCAATTGTCTCTTCATATTTTCAACCCTGTTTAATCTTTTATCTACTAAAGGAGGCTTTCACAGGCAGTTTTTCCCAAATCCTATTTTTACGGGGCGTGACTTTACGAAATATGTGAACTATCCTCACTTCACATATTTATTGTTCTGCTAAAAAGACTAACGCTTCTACTAATGCATACTTTTTCTATCTCCTCATCCACCCCAGCAAATATAGACCTTCCAGTTCCCCACTTACCCAATCTCATCTCTCTGGGGAATGAGGCCACCCTTCAGAGAGATTCCACATTCCTATTTCTACAAAACGTATTTCTCACTCTTCTAAAAAGCCACTTCTACTACTGTCTAACTAGTTTTCTATCGGATCTCTACTCTTTTGGGAAGATACCACTACTAACATCACCTCAAATACATACTCTTTCTACCTCCTCATCTGTTCCAACTAGAAGGGACCTCCAATTTTAGTACCCCACTTACTCAACCTTATACCTCTGAGAAGTGAACTAATACTTTTCTACAACTTCTTCTACTACCTAACCTCTACTCCTCGGGAAAGAAGCTGCTACTACCACTTCCTACTTTTTCAATCTCCTTATGTGTTCCAACTAGAATGAACTTACCCCACTTACTTAAAACCATCCCTCTGGGAAGTGAACGCTAATACTTTCCTACATCTACTTCTTTCTCCTAAAGACACTTCGTCTACTATCTCACCTCAACTCCTTTGGGAAGAGTTCACTACCACCACTACCTACTTTTTCTATCTCATGTTCAACTGGGAGGGACCTCCACTTTTAGTACCCCACATACATATCCCACTAGGAAGTGAAATCTGCCACTTTTCTACCTCTACTTCTTCTACTTCCTCACCTGTAGTCCTCTAGGAAGTAACTCGTTGTCTTGTGCTCGGCTGGGTCTACCGCTATTCCTGAATGTGTCAGTGAAGGGTGCTCGCTTCTCTGCCATCAGCTCTGCAACACAAGGGAATAAAGAGAATCAGTGTCGTTGTAAAGATATTATATATTCATGTTAACTACAGGTCACCTCGTGGTCGAAAACTCTACCAAAAATATGTATTCTGCAAACTTCTTTATTTTCACCCCACGCTGTTTCAATACACGTGATTGGAATGACTTCCATTTGTTTTTATTTTCTATTTATATTTCGCCGTTCATTCGTCACCGGCATGATAACCCATAAGGTCCGTTTTTTTGTTTTTGTTTTTAATATTATATTTTTCTCTATTAATTTTGATTCTCAAAGCATACATATAATTTTATTGCAAAATCTCAAGCCTGTTTTGATATTTCTCATGTTGGCTAGGTTCTAGTAACAGATTGTATTCACTGATGAAGAGTTAACAGTAAATATTTTTCGTGATACTGCAGCAAAAACAGTAGTTTTCAATGCATGCGTTGCGGGTCTTTGGGGTGAAAACAGAAAAGTCTGTACATTACATATTTTGGTCGAGTTTTTCGACCACTGGACGGCCAAACCCTTTGTCCTCAAAACTCTTTTAAGAGAAGGGTGTTAACCCTTGAAAGATTACAGCTTTAAGTCACTACTTGTCTTTTTATCACAATTTTTATATAAGTAACACTCTTTTAACTTTCAAAACAGTGAGATACCCAAATATCACCTGATGGGGTTTTGCTATGGAAAAATCCGGACTCAACACATCAGAAAATAAATTTTATCTGCAAATAAATATTTTACGATAGTAGAAGAGTAGTACGATGTAACCACCAACTCCAAAATCCAACCCATGTAAAAATTCAGGATTCTAAGCCATAACTCCTAAGAAATTAGCTTTTTGAATAACATCGTTTGGTACTTACGTATTATATTGACCACACAGATAAATCGACTTAAAAAAATTGCATTAGTTTAAATAAAAATATTTATAACCTAACCTAACCACCCTAAGTTAGGTTAGGTTATAATTGTTAGGCGTGGTCGGTATAATACCTAAGTACCAATTTATTGTTTGTATGTTTATTGTCAAGGTGAAATTATATTAACCTTCTAAAATTTTGGAATAAACATGGAAACTCAAGTCATTCACTTAAAAAGTAACAATTCCTGGTATATATTTCACAATGAACGGTGAAAGTGAGATATCTCCCTACCATCTCCAAGGTCTCTCCTCCTGATGGGTTCATCCTCCGCGTCGAACCATGGACGTCTATGTGAGAGGGCGGAGACCGGGGCGAGCAGCGCGGCCATACACGCGGCTGCTACCGTCGTCCACAGCATGGCTACCCTGGGGACAAGTGGAAGTGTCAAATGTGGTCGAGGGGAGAGTAGAATGTGGGGTGTCTTTATTTACTTTTGTTTTCGTGTATATGCTAGTAAGATAAAATTATTTCATGAAATAACCACAGTTTTACCCCACAAAACCGTGTTCCCTTAGTGCTATTGCCATAGTCCTAAAAATCAACTTAGGTTTATACAGTAACAACTACTGTAAACTTGTCTCTACTATTAGTTGACTCAGAGTTACTTTGAACGATGCCCCTCAAACTGACAGCGCATCAGCTGTAATTTTAGAGGCTAGCAGCAGAAACCCCGTTTATTATAAACCCCGCGATTTTCCCTATAGGGAAGTAGCTATTACCGTAGGTGGCACGGTATGACTTAGGCCCGGGACCGATTTACTTTTTCATTTTGATGACCCCATAGGCCAAAAACAACATTCGTTCAAATGTTTATATATGTATCGATATACGTACGTGAACATAACTTGAGTATTTTTTGACCGATTTTGATGAAATTTGTTTAAAGGTGTAAGGCGGGATAAACCTGAATGAGTTCGCGAACCAGCATGATTGGACCATGGGAACGGGGTTTTATGGAAGGTTTTATGGGGTGAAAAATTTATTTTCTCATTTTTGACCCTCACAACACAAAATTACCCAATTTCTCTCTAGACCCTTTAAGAGCTTCAAAAAATAATTTAGTATATCAAAGTGTTTTTGTACGTTTATTGGTAAGGGAGAAAATTCAAAAAATTGCAAATTTAAAATTCCCATGTTATTCTTATGGAGAATATTATAAACTGTTGTATTTTGCTTGTTTTTGGATATATTTTGATCAAACTTTGCAAAATATATTTATTTTATACAAAGCTGTTTATATTTTACAAAAATACATTTAATTAGTTTCCTTGTAGCAGCAAACCTAGGTAATCATTAAACCTAATGTTATTTAAAAAAAAATAATTGAAAATCAATTCAGACAAATGGAAATTTGCTTAGCCGGCAGGTTTGCTGCGGCGGGAGTATATTGATTTCAAATTACTGTAATAGAGAAAAGAGTAAACCCTAGTTGATCCATACATTTCTAAATATCTGTAATATATATTTACTGGCTACTTACAGTTTAGTCATCAGGTTGAGCTATGTTACCCACTTCAAAGGGAGTATGTTTTATATGCTTCAACCATCAAGGTCAATGTGAAGAGACATAATAGGTTGTGGTGTTATTAATTAACCATATGTTAAATGTTTAAAATATCGGATGAACTGATTATTTATTGAGCTTGACAACGAAGTCATTGAATCGTTACCCAACAATGACTTCACAACCGAACGGCTACCAATCACCGATGAGATTAACGAAACAACTGAAATCGAAAATGAAAATGTTGAAACGTCCAGGGTTTCCATTAATCAGCGAAGACATCAAGAACAAACTATCCGAGGCGTGTTGCAATGGCCAGAACATAATGGAATGCCAATAAATGAGTTCAGACTATATAGCTCAAGCGTTTCCTCACCTCTTTCCTACAGCACAACGATTGTGGAAAGACGCCTATCAGCTATTGAGTTAAATGAAGAACAACAGAAATTCCTCGATCATTATTGTTTTCACCTTCATAATTTTAGAAACTTTCCAACAAAAGCGAACATTGATACTGGGTCCAGCAGGAGTGGGTAAATCAGCTGTTATAAAGAAGATGATCTCTAAAACTAAACACATGTTTGGTAATGGCTCAATAATGCTTATGGCACCTACTGGGGTTGCAGCAAACAATATTAATGGATGTACAATTCACAGTGCTCAAAATAAACAGCACTCGTGGACATATGCAGAATTTAGAAGGAGAAGCTGAGCGGATACCCCAGGAAATGTTTGCCAAAGTTGTTACGGTGATTGTTAACAAAGTATCAATGCTTGGTTTACGAATGCTTTCATACATGGATCGCCGCTTACGACAAGCTCGACCGAATCAAAGTGATGAGCCACTCGGAGGATTCATAGTATATTTTGTTGGAGATATGTCACAGCTTCCACCTGTGCTTGACACCCCACTCTATGATATTCCTAAAAACAACAATGATGATATGACACTTGGTAAAGTAGTATACAACTCTTTTGATGCTGTATTTTCCTTAATAATTATGAGACAGCAAAGTGACAACCAACAACAATTCAGGAATGTATTAAACAATATATTGCTAATGGAAGTATCACACAAAACGACTACGAAATTTTGGCCTCACTTTTACGAACTATAATTTAGGAAAGGAGACCCAGTTTGAAAATGCTATATGTATTATCACAACCAATGAATCAATTATGGCTTATAATAAGAACAAGCTAAGAAGCCTCAATGTTGCGTGTATCACTGCTGTGAACAACAACATGACTGCTGCTAATGCAACATCAGATGACTGCCAAGGCCTCAACAAACACCTCTTTATTTCAAAAGGTTGTCGTGTGATACTTAGAAGAAATCTTTAGACTTCTGCAGGCCTATGTAATGGTAGCATTGGTACTGTAGCTGATATCATATACAAATTTACTGACACAGAAAATTATCTAGAAGATTTCCCTATTTGCATTTTGGTACAGTTTGAAAATTATATTGGACCTACATTGTACAACGGGTTGTTGCCTATCCTCCCAGTAACTGTTTCCTAAGACATCCCATCTATATGGATCAGCTGTCGCCAATTTTTTACTAAAAAAGAACGTAGTTGTGTGAGGCAGTCACAGATTGCACTAGTGTCTAAAACTCTATTTTGTACCTTATTTTTTGTTACTGACATAGTTGCTGGGTCACAACAGTTGCTATAGCTCATAATAAGTCATTCCATCAGTTTGACTTGGTAAAAACCATTGTGTAGTCGGCAGAAATCAGTAATTTAGATCAATGCAATCTGTAGGTGGCTCACATCAACCTAAGACAAATTTGATTAAAAACCTGGCTACATCTTTAACGTGGGGATGGAATGTCTAGTTGTTGTATTAATAGTCAAAGCTTTAAACGGAATGGTGTCAAATGTTCTCGAAGGCAATTTCCACTAAATCTTGCCTATGCTATTTCGGTACATCGCAGCCAAGGATTTACTGTAGATCAAGCTGTGGTCGACCTAGGCAAGCCAGAATTTTCCCTCGGCTTGACTTATGTAGCTTTGTCAAGAGTAAGAACCATCGAGGGTTTGCTGACAGAGCTATTTCCCACAGAGAGGATCAAAAACATAAAGAAGAATAGCAAATGGCAAGCAAAGCAAAAAGAGATGGAAAGACTCAAGAAAATTGCTTATAACGATGGGCTCGAATCATGAAGTATGTATTGATCAATAAAATTTACTTTTGTTTTTAGGTTGTAATTGATAAACATATAATTTATATTTTCCATAAGAAAAAGTAAATCCACAATAAAACTATGAATATTCAATATCAAAAGAATTCCAATTCTTTGAAATCACCAATAATCCCCCATTGGTGGTTTAATAAAGAATTTTGATAAATCGTAATACTACGTTTATTATTTTATGTCTTATGCAGATTTTGCACAATTCTAACAACTCTCTCAAAAGCATACTTCCAAAATTATCCTGGGGAGAAATATTGAATTTTATCATTATCACCTGTTCTGGACAGATTATAATTGAATCTCCCTTGGCAGTCAAATTCACTGTCAAATTGTCGGGATCTGGATAGCTTAACTGGCTAAGAACAGCTGTTTCTGTAGTCAGGCCTATTTACTAAGAGAAAAAAAAGAAAAATAATCAATGAGCTAAAATCAATGACAGCTGGGTATAGTTTCAATCCGTATAACTACCCGGATTAAAATTTGTTCTATTTCGTAAAGGGTTAGCAGTTTGCATCGAGGGCTTAACGGATGCTAGCTGATTTCTTACTAAAATAAACAAATTTGCCACAAAAAATGTCTAATTTTATGATTAGAAGCTCAATAACTTTATAATGTAAAGTTAAATTTATTAAACTAATCTATACTTGATACACCTGTTCTATTATACAGTATTTATTAAACTGCAAGTAATTGAAATGTGTAAGCATGAAGTATTTTAATAGAATAAAATATACACGACCTCCAGCCATGACCTCCCAGCCTGCCGCAGATCTTGGTAAACTGTACGCCTCCAAGTTATTTTTGGTTTCCTCTTCTTCTGTGATCTTGAGGATTCCACTCCAGGACTTTTCTCACTAGCTCGTTCTCTCTCTTTCTTAGCGTATGACAAATCCATTTCCACTTTCTTTAATTTTTTTCTTTAGTGTAATTTGGTTGGTTCTGGCCCTTAACTCTTCGTTGGAAATGACCACAGGCTATCTTATTCCTAAAATGGACTTGAGACATTTGTCAACAAATATCTGGATGGCTCAGTCATTTCTACTGGACTCTTTCAAAGTCTCACAGAGGTACAACAGAACTGAGTTGACATTTGTTTCCTAAACAAAAAATTTAAACACAATAATTATTTTTTGTACCAGTAAAGGCTCTTTCCCATTGAGATATGCCTGTTGTTCCAACAATCTTTAAACTACGCCATTGCGCTCTATCCTACATCAGAAGTGTGTCATCTTCAATTCATAGCCTCAATTGTAAGAAGATCCTATGAATAGAGAATCTTTTTTGCATAAAATCATACACAAAAAGAATTAAATATAGACCGTCAGCCGTGCTGCGGTTACCATAGGTTCTGGCGCACACCACTGGGAGCGCCATGTAGTTACGGCGTACGCGCTACGTAACCATGGTAACCGCAGCACGGTTGACAGTCTATATTTAATTATGTTTATGAAACTAACCTTTTTATTTTCCATATAGGTGGACTCACAACTTAAGATTGGCTCAAACCACCTTCAGATAAAGATAAAATAATAAAATAAGTGAACATCCAAAAGTGAACATTTTCGACACTTTTATTAAACTTTTTATATTATCAACTTTTGCATTATTTTAAAACATTTATTTTGTAAGGGAATGGTCCAAACCCTGGTCTTGTAACTAACGTTGACCGTTTTGACTACTTACAGATGCTTCAAGTAATCCTACGTTCAACATTCATGCAGGGGAAAGTGGAAAAGGGGCCGAAGTTCCGCCGTACTCTGTTGAAGAGGTTCTCAAAAGTACAGCTGCCAAAGCTATATCTCTACACAAATCTACCAATGAGATCCTAGCCTTGAGGTCTTCAGCAACAATAGACGCATTGTAAGTCGATGGTTATGTGCTTTTGATAGTTATTTATGAGGCGTTAACAGATTTTAAGAATCTAAGAGTAACATGGCAGGACCAGGTGAGAAGAGATGTAAGAAAGCTAAGAGCAAGAGACGGAGATAGAATACAGAGAAAGGTGGCGACTTGTTGGTGAGGCCAAAAACCAACTGAGATTTGAGTGGCCACATAGGTAAGGTAAGGTACCCATAGGTAGCATAACCCATTTTTTCAGGTTTTGCAGGAGAGCAAAAATAAAGTGGATTTATCATGTTTTACTGCTAATATTTCTTAAAAAAAAAAAAAAAAAAATTGATTGACCGATGATTTTTTTATCTTTGTATTTTGTCCATTTTTTTTTTTTTTTTTGGGGGGGGGGGAAGGTGGGAAAATTCATTTATGCACACAGGTGGCTAGCCTGTAGTGTGGGACTCCAATGGGTTTGAGGCCCAGAGCTTACCCACTAAAATCCTCCTCTAAAAATCTCCTTCGGATACTAGCCTGGGAACACTTGTCGCACTTCATCAGAACTGGGTAGAGTCTGCCTACGCCCGAAGGACTTAATCCGTGTCTAGCCGTTCATTTCTTACAAGATCTAGACTATGATGTGATCTAGATCGTTCTTTTTCACTTGAAGGATATTCCGGACAAAGTGCAATCAGCAGTCTCAGTTGTACCCACCCTCCAGTAAAGTGTCACAAATCGATTCAATCGACAGCACGAGCACCCCAAGATGTGTGGCCTCCCAGCGGAGGATATCCCACCGTAGACTGCGGAGGAAAGTGTGTTCTGCGTCGTCGGGAATGCATAAGCAGTAAATACAGTGTTAACATCATGCACAACTTTTTGTTTTTATTTTCACTGAACTTGTGTTTGACGATTTTAATGTGGGTGGTTACTATTGTGTTTTCCAGCTTTGACTGGGGTTGTGCACACTTTTTGTAATGTTTTAATATTTTCCCACCTGAGGAAAGGGTCAGGTTCTATATCTCAAAACGTCATACATTTTTTCTATTCGTTATGAATAATGTCCACAATTATCTATACATCATTTAGGTAAACCCTCAACCAAACATCAACAGTAAAAAATCTGTAGAAGTTCTCTAATTAACAAAAATATTTTCTAGGTGTCCTCTAGTATTGAACCACTCAACGCCAAACCCGTGTGACCAACACTACTGTCTGTTCAACCTGGAGACCGACCCTTGTGAAACCCTAGATATGTCTGTAGCTCACTCCGACGTAGCACGTGATCTAGTCAAAGCTTTAGAGGGGTACAGAGAAGGTTTGGTGTTTACTCCTCGTCCAAATAGTGACCCAAGAGCAGACCCTAGACTGTGGGGTAACTACTGGTCTACTTGGGCAGACAGCTCGGCCAGCCTACCTCAGACATCGGTCATGCTTTTGATCACTAGTTACCTAATCTTGAGATAAAACAGTGAAGATAATTTTTACAAGATCATTCTCGTACATTCAACAAGTGTATGAATATTTAAATACTTCCGACACTTTTAGGGTGGTTTTATGCATGGTGACACACGATGGCTGGCAGTCGCCAGGCTTCTTGGTTCAATTGAGTTAAATAGGAGCATTTATGTTCGGAAGGACAGGACGAAGTTACTTAACCCGTGTCCAGTCTACCTACAACCGCTGCCGTGCCGTGTCATGATAGCGCTACCGTGTTATTTCGTGTTCTGTGTTTTGTTCTATGTTTAAATTATTTGATGTTTTTGAAATAAAGCTCCGACGATGTTGCAGTGCAATGAAACATGTAAGCTTTGAACAACATTAGTTGAAATAAGACACAATTTTGGACTACTGACGGAGGTAAGCCTATATAAGTCATAATTCGTAGTCCAGGGGCTATCAGAATAAATAATAAAAAAAGTGTTATAAAAATAATTTAAACTAGTATTTATTTGTGTTTTATATATTTTTACAAAATTGTGAGTCATATATAGTTTTGAAATACATAAAGTAACAACAAACAATAGTTTAAGATAGGTAAAATACTAAAATATAACATTAAAAGATATATGATAAATATTTACAGCATCATTATTATAACCTTCCAACGTTATTTGAATTATATGCAGTATAAACTAAAAAAATAAGTTCCAAACGGAATGACAAAAGTGACAATCAAACAATAGTATTTTTAAAATTTGACAAACATTAATTTAAGATTTAAAATATGTAACATTAATAAATTACTAAACTCGGACTTACATACTGGACCAAACATACTCAGGGTATTAAATACACCCCATTAACATGCAAACACGTATAATAAACAAACACTTAACAAATTTTAAATAACTTAACGAACACATACACAAATATAGATTTGTCATTGATTATTGTGTGGTAATAAATATTTGTGTGAAAAGAGCGCAAAGTACATCATTACCGGTTGAGAACTGCAGATGGCCTCAACTCCGGACACACATTTCGAGAGCGGCAATGACTGTTTGTGCTCATAATACACACAAGATTTTTCCTACCACTATAATTAACCTATAATAACACAGATTAACTTTTTAGATGTATATAAAATGTAATTTAGGTTATTTTTTATTATATTATTATACAATATAATAATACAGACAGTTATTTGCTTACCGGTTGTTAACTAACCTACCAGATGTGCGTCTGTGGTTGGTGTAGAAACGACAACTGTGAAACCAGCTGATTAGCGAGAGGCAATGAGCAATTTTGCGTACTATTTACAGGTATGGTAATGTGATCATTTCCATGGAGTGGTAGGAAAAATGTTTTTTGTACAGTATATAAACTTAAATTTTTTTGTTTTGAGGTCCCCATTAAGGCCAAAAACACAATCTGCTCAAGTTGATACACACACACATTATTATATAAATATGTGATTGTTTACCATGATAACTCTAGTAAAAATCACCCGATTTAGATTAAATTTGGTACAAACGTGGAAACCTATGTTCAAGCAACCAGCATGATCGGACTATGAGAACAGGGTAAAATGGGTGTTCCCATTTTTGACCTTTAAAACATAATCTTTGCAATAAATCTCAAATATTGAAGCGTTGTAGTACACTAAATAGTCACAGAGAAAAGTTCAAAACTGTAACTTTAAAATTCCCACGTTATTCTCATGGAGAATAAGTAAACTGTTGTAGTTTGCTTGGTTATGGTTCTAGTTTCATAAAATATGGCTAGCCCAAAATTTGTATGACCTATTTGGGTAGTTTTCTCTTTTCTTGTTTTTTTGCTGCGTTTTTCTTCATTATCTGAAGCCGTTTGTCTGCTGTGATAGTATTAATCTTAGGTACAGGAATTGTGACCTTAGTACTGGATTTGCCGCTGCTTTGGTGGCTACTGCTACTTCCACTTTTGCTTGAGTAGGAACCAGAAGAAGACTTTGCAGAGCTGGAACTGGCGAATGCTAAGGAAACCAAAGGTAAAATTAATACAAAACCTTACTAGACCTAAAATAGGTAGAAAATATTTTTAAATTATTATAATTAGAAAAAATGTACTTTTATGTTGGTTTAAGTGGGTCATAAAGGATTATCTTTTTATATTTGGGATTTTTAAGCAAATGTCCTTTGCACATTTATATTTTCTATTAGTTTAAACATATGAATTATTGACGTTTGTTTCATATTCTACTAAGTAAAACTAAAACTTAAGATTGAATAAATGGATATGAACTTTGATATCTGTTGAAATATTAATATAAATATTTTTTTATATTCCTCCTAAAAACTGTAAAGGTCTATGACGATGGGGAATCACTATACATCAAGAACCATTTTTTACAATATTCTTGTACAAACAAAAAACATGAGTAGTAGGCCTACTTGTATTATTTTCATTTAATTGTTTTTGAATCACGAATAAGTTCTTGTAGCTTAAACTAGATGCTTATGTCTACCTAATTTTCCGATGGTGGAAATAAAAATTGTTAACATCAAAGTGTTAGATTTAAAAGTCACTGAATATATTTCTCTTAGAAATTGTACTGTAAGTTGTTTTTATATTTATCTAATTCAACTTTGAGATTTCAAACATTATTGAATTTTGTTTGTCATGAATCTTACCATTGAAAGATTTACTAGAAGAGGAGGAAGAAGAAGAACTTTTGCTGCTCGCTTTAGGTGGTTTTCCAGACTGACTAACACTGCTGGGTGATCCTTTTGAACTGCTAGCCTGGAATTATATTGAATAAGGCTATTAGATCTTAATGGCATAAAACTATGAGGATTAATAATTATGCCTTTGTGACATTTTTGCAATAGGGTATTTATGAGACGGAGATAACAATAGTTTTTAGTTATGTCCGTAGATGTTTTAATCTGTTTATGAGGGAACTGTCAAAAAATAACTCAAGTTTTCTTTTCTAACAAATGTAAATAATTTATCAAAAGCTGCAAACCTTTGAAAATTTATCTGGCATATGCACAGTGCCGGATTAAAGGTACTCACTGCCCTAGACCAAACCAACCCGAGCAGCCCTTGTCCCTTAGGTGAAAGTTCCCCGCGATCACGGCATATTATTAATCATATAAAATTAAAAATCCAATTTTTATTCTAAAAAATGTTTTTGTTTACAAAACACTGCGACCTGCTCTTGTTTGTGGCTCCGTAGCCTAGTGGTAAATTTGACAATGGATCTGCAAGTCCAAAACAGTTTCTTCAGTCTACCGATGTGAGTGATATTTTGTATCAAACAATAATCAATAATGTTTCATGATAAGTTCTACAAACTTGTTTAAGTGACCTTAAACTTATTGAGAAATTCAATAATGCCTTCCAATCAGTGGTGTAAGAGTACCTACATCGAGAGGAACCACCCGCAGTACATGTAGATGGTGCCCCACTCCCCACCAAAATGTCACCACTTATTTTTTATTCGTTTATCTCGGCAAAAGCCGTTTGAAACCGGTGATTGGGGCAAAATCCAAAATCTCTCACCGACATTTGTTTATTGTCATGGAAACATTGTTATTGTTTTCCGTGATCTCAGCCAAATCCTGAATATATCCTGCGTTCATGTAGATCATCGTCTCCCACGGTCATGGAAGCTCGTCTCTCGCAATCACGGAAAACAACACCTTTTTCCTTAATAGTCCCAAAACCTTGGACATCTTCTTCTCTTTGGTCTTGTAAACATTATGTTCCGTTCGTCTCCAGCGGCCACGGAAACGACATAATATTTATTACGCGATTGTGACCAAATCTTCCAAATATCTTCTTTGCTCTTGAAGATACCTATCATCAACATGTCCCACGGTCACGGAAATAACGTATCACCTTTTTCCACAATTGAGGTGAGCAGTGATAGTCGAACCTCGGCGCCAGCCGGGACTGCATAGCGGGGGTGTTATTTACGCCACTACTTCCAATGTGATATTTTAGCATATCTTACTAACCAACATTAGTCATTAATACAAACAAATGGCTTACCACTTTGTTCATAGTCTTGGTGCAGGTTGCACAATACCAGACAAACCTAGGATCGTTGACATCTTGAGTGATGGCAGGTTTGTGGCACTCCTGGTGGTAGAGAGAATGGCACTCAACACATTCCACCAGGTTGTTGTTGGCACCCACGGCCATCTCGCTGTAACCAACACTCGCTTTAATGGAAATAAACTGTACCAGCAAACTAAATGCTTTCTCTAATTAGCTTGATATTACAATTGAACATCCTACTAGTATAATGAGCAATATATTAAAACCATAATAATAGTGGGTGACCGAAGACCATAGCTTATGGGGAAAATTGCAACAACCTTTAAATCAAGATTCTTACAGCATTGGGAATGTACAATTTTGTTCAGGGTTAAAATAAGTTATATACTACCACATTACTGATTGTTACCAGAGTAAGTTAATCCTGGCATCTACTCACGAGTCAGTGATCTGGTAGGCTACGAGCTCTCAGAGCAGGAGACTGATGGGCATTGCAACTGACAATGCGGACAGAAAAAAAAAACTTGTTGTGAACATTTGTGGTTGGGTTAGGTAATTTTAGGTGTTTCCTGCGCTTTTATTCAACCTACTGGTCATAGCTAACTGTTTTTATCCCCCCTTCAGGGGAACTAGGTATAAATTCTTGTGGCCTTTTATTTCTGGTAACATGAATATCAACCAGATAAAGAATATCCTGTTTCCAGATGACCTTAATAATTACATTTACCAAAATACACTATTATTTAATCTAAACTACCCACCTAATGTTTTTCCTACGCAGTTTGGTAAATGTACGGCGTATTTGAGTGGTGGTGCCGTGAGTGTGTTGTGGTTATTTCCAGACTAGGTTGGAGGCTTCAGACTAAAGCGGCCCACACACTGGGGCGCTTGTGCGCGCACATGTGACGCGCGAACAGCTCTACGCACATGCGCCTCAATGTGTGGGTAAATGTGCCCATGCTCGCGACGCGCATGCGAGGTGCCTGGTGCCTGCCGCCGGACCTTCGAGCATCGTCACAAGAGCGCGAGCTTGTTATGATGTGCGCCAGTCTGTGGGAAATCGAGGCACATGTTCGCAAGCTAGCAGTACTAACCATAGCTGCATATACTGTAAATCGGGAAATACAAGGTCTGCGCCTGCGTGGCACAGTGTAACAGTAACTGCCCCACGTGTTGTATTTGATTTGTCCTTGTTTTTAGGTTATGAACTTTTTTGTTGTGCGGTTAAGATGTCCTGTAATGACATAAGAAAGTTTTGGTCTGAGTTTATAGAGCTTTATAGATCACAAACGTGTTATTGGGACGTGAAAAATGTAAACTTTTCAAACAAATAAATGAGAAAAGAAATTAAGGAGTTATTAATAACAAAATGCAAGGGGGTGTTTCCTGAAAGTGGCGATACGTTTGTGGAGACTGAAATCAACTCTTTGAGAGCTTCATATCGATGTGAACCAATTAATTAGAACTATTTAAACTAATTAAATCTAAGTCTATAACCCTAATAGGTACTCTAAATACGACCCTTATACCCTTATATTAAATAATACAACCCTCATATTCTTTCATACCTTATTTCTCACTTTTTTAGGCCCACAAGTTTATTGTAAACACAAAAACCATAATACAGTACATACAACTAATAACTCCCCCAATCAATTGAAGTATAATCACGTCTAATGTATTTTTTGAAGGCAAATTTGATTCTTTAGTGACTTTGCTTGCAACTTAAAAAAAAAAATCCTTGTTAAAAAAAATCCAAAATGAAAAACAAATAGTAGGTAAAAATTACATGGGGGCGATACAAAGGGGTTTATTAGAATGATTTCCATATAACATATAATATATGTTGAATTTGCTGTTATAGCCCACTATTTGAATCGTCAAAGACGGTGGTGCGCGCGCATGTGTCTTTAGTGTGTGGTTACCAATTGGATCGCACATGTGCCTCGAGCCGCTCGCAGTCACCTCACCACGAGCCCCGCAAGGCACATGCGCGCTAGTGTGTGGGCCGCTTAATAAGTAGGCCTACAGATGTTTTAGTTTTGGATTTTTTTAAAAATATTGTTGTCTATTGTTTTTAGGCAATGTAATCAAGTCAATTGATATGGTCAATGTGTGAAAAAAATTAGGAAGGTTATGTTGGATAGGGTTAGGGTAGGCCATAAACATAATTATTCAGGTCATTTGAAAACAAGGGGAGTTCCCTTAGTTTTTCAAAAGTAGGATAGTCAAAACACTTAGTGTAGGAAAAGTCCATTTTACCTAAAATAAAAAAGTTATAGGCCTACTTCAACAATAACTTAAATACCCCCGCCGGAGCAAACCTGCCGACTAAGCGAATTTCCATTTGTCTGAATTGATTTTCAATTAAATATATTTAAATAACATTAGGTTTAACGAGTACCTAGGTTTGCTGCTACAAGGAAACTAATAATGTGTGTATTTAATTAGTAAGATATTGATAGCTTAGTATAAAATAAATAAATTTGCCAAGTTTGATCAAAATATATCCATAAACAAGCAAACTGCAACATTTTACAATATTCTCCATAAGAATAACATGGGAATTTTAAATTTAAAATTTTTTTAATTTTCTCCGTTACCAATAATCGAACAAAAATACTTTTAAATACTAAATTATTTGTTTTTTTAAGCTCTTTAAAAAGGTCTAAAGAGAAATAGGGAAATTTTGTGTTTTGAGGGTCAAAAGTGAGAAAAACCAATTTTTACCCCATAAAACCCCCGTAAAGCCCCGTTCCCATGGTCCGATCATGCTGGTTCGCGAACTCATTCAAGTTTATCTCGCTTTAGACCTTTAAACCAAATTTCATCAAAATCGGACAAAAATTACTCAAGTTATCGCGTTCACGGACGTATACATATATAAAAATTTGAACAAATGGTGTTTTTGGCCTCTGGGGACATCAAAATGAAATACCCCCGCCGCAGCAAACCTGACGCCTAAGCGAATTTCCATTTGGCTGAATTGATTTTCAATTGATCTATTTAAATAACATTAGGTTTAACGAGTACCTAGGTTTGCTGCTACAAGGAAACTAATAAAGTGTGTGTTTTAAGTAAAATAATTATTGCTTAGTATAAAATGAATATATTTGCCAAGTTTGATCAAAAGATATCCATAAACAAGCAAACTACAACATTTTACAATATTCTCCATAAGAATAACATGGGAATTTTAAATTTACCATTTTTTTAGTTTTCTCCGTAACCAATAACCGTACAAAAACACTTTGATATACTGAATTGTTTGTTTTTTTAAGCTCTTTAAGAAGGTTTAGAGAAAAATTGGGAAATTTTGTGTTTTGAGGGTCAAAAGTGTGAAAAACCAATTTTTACCCCATAAAACCCCCCATAAAACCCTGTTCCCATGGTCCGATCATGCTGGATCGCGAACTCATTCAAGTTTATCCCGCCTTACACCTTCAAACCAAATTTCATCAAAATTGGATAAAAATTACTCAAGTTATCGTGTTCACGGACACATATATATATATATATATATATATATATATATACATATATAAAAATTTGAACGAGTGGTGTTTTTGGCCTCTGGGGACATCAAAATGAAAAAGTAAATCGGTCCCGGGCCTAAGTCTTACCATGAGACCTACGGTAATAGCTACTTCCCTATAGGGAAATTCGCTAAAAGTAAATCGGTCCCGGGTCTAAGTCTTACCGTGCCACCTACGGTAATAGCTACTTCCCTATAGGGAAATTCGCTAAAAATGCTGAGTGAAAATACATTTTTCTGAAAATATAGCCTACATTTAAATAACACAAAAATTATTAACTTATAGGCCTATCCTAATTGGCAAATCAATCAACTTACTGGCAAACAACACAAGAAAGATCATCGTCAAGGATTTCAAGAGCAACTCCGTCATCACTATCAGAGCCTGAAGTCTGAGACTCTTCCAAATCTTCTCTGTATATAGGGGAAACACCAGAGCCTTCTTCTAACTTGATTCTCTTTCCTCTAACCTCATCTACCTGAAAGTGGTAGAACAAAGACGTTAGTAAGATGTAAACTAATAATGATTTTAGTTATATGTTGTACTGTAAACTTACGTCTGTAGTAAGAAATACTCACACATTTAGTACCGGTACTCTTCTTTATCCAGCCACATAAACCTGTGTACCGGTATTTTAAACATACTTCAACTTACTGTAAACTTACGTCTGTTGTAGGGAATACTCACATTTCTTTGCAGTACCCTCCTTTCAACCATAGCCAAATAAATAGGTGTTACTGTAAACTTACTTGAAGTGTAAGTTGTTCAAAAAATAATATAAAAGAATAGAAATGTTATGACAGTGAAACTCAATCATAAACTAAACATAAGATAGGCTACTTATTTCTTATTCATTAGGTTTCTTCAAGGGTAGGCTGGTGCTATTACTTAATTCATAACATTATTATTGTCAATTGCAACAAGTTGTTTAAAATAAAATGTTGATGTCCTCTTTGTGTTGTAATGCATTATGACTTGCAAAGATCAGTAGCAATATGGTAATGTTAGGCTTAACATTATAACATCTAAGAAACTGTCTACATTGTACCAATAACTGATATTTACTTACAGTAACAGTCTTTTTATTAAGACCTAGAACTGATAAATTAATCGGTTTTCTGTTTCCATATTTACATTTAATGGTATCTTCTAAAATTATTCTCAATTGCTCAGCAGAATCTTCTTCTGGTGAATGCAACAATTTTAATGATCTAGCTAATATCGCCATATCCATATCTTGAGTCAGTGCCATGATTTTGGATTAATAAAAACTAAAAGAGTCTTTAACTAATTAACAAATAAATATAGCCTATCTAATTCGTGTAATTTCTACATCCAGTTTAAAAGTTTAACACCATTTAGGCCTACCACAACAAACATCACCGTCGAACTTATAGGTTATGTTATGTTTTATCTATCCCAGATCCCATCATAATAACAACACAAACAAAAAAGAAACAAAATAGAAACAGAACACAACGGAACACAAGCAATTGCCATGGCCATTTCGATAAACGCTCCATTGGCAATACATTAAGCATTGAATATGAAGAATGGAATGGACGTTGAATAATAAATATGCCACAAGAGTATAACGGTTTAATAAAATTAAATGTATGACATGTTGTAAAAGATTAAATATACTTCCTCCTCCTCCTAATATTTTCCTATTATTGATATGAAAAAACTCATTGAACAAATTAAAACAGAAAAAAAAACTCTATGCTGGAGTGTGACTGGTTGAGAGTAAAAACGCTTCCAAATCCCAAATCTCAATCTAGATTCTATATAGTGAACATTTCTTTTCTTATATTAAATATATTCATAGAAAAAAACAAGCAATTGAAGCCCCAGGATTTGTTGTGAGAGCTTTACGTTACTGCCTTATCTACTGAAAGTATTAAAGTTGCTCCTTTGGTATATCTAATAATTTTCCATGGTAACATTTCACATTGAATAATAAAAATGCATGATTTTATCCCCTTACCAGAAACCCCATTGTCTGCTTATTGAAAGAACTCAATCTAGAACAATTACTATTTTTACTGTTTTAGTTTATTTACCATTTTTATTTACTATTACTATTTACGACACTCAACCACTTTCTTTCAGAAAAACTTCCACTTCAATGTTTTTACTAAACACGGCACACCTTTATGGCATGTTATGAAGTACTTTTTGGGCATAAGCGCCACTTGGTGTACATCCCCAAAATGGGGGATTTTGGGGGAAACTCAAATATTTCAAATAGTAAGACCCATCGAGCTCACACTAGGAAAACTAAACTCTACACACATTTATGACATGATATGAAGTACTTCTTGAGCTTAATTGCTACTTGGTTCCCAAAAGTTAAGCCCCATCGAGTGACCCCTCATTTTGAAGGTCGTGATAAAAGAATATAACAATGCACACTAGAAGTCTATATCTTAACACAGTAAAATATGGCAGCCAATTGAATATAAAATGGCAAATTCTAAAGATTTCAATCAGCTACCATTTTTTGCTGGATTAAGATAGAGCCCTCTAGTTTACGCTGTTGGTTTTTTTTTTTTTTTTTTTTTTTTTTTTTTTTATTTGACCTTCAAAACAAGGGGTCGCCCAATGGGTCTTACTATTTGAAATTTTTAAGTTTCCCCCAAAACCTCCATTTTGGGGATGTATACCAAGTGGTGGTTGGGCCAAAAAAGTACTTCATAACATGCCATAAAGGTGTGTCGAGTTTAGTTTTCTAATATGGGCCGTTAAAAATTAACAGGGGGTCCTCCTTCCTTTTTACTAACCCTGTATATATATGTATTTAGTAAATAATAAATGTCATAATAAATGTAATTTTATGAGTTAAGACTTGGACAATGCATAATATTTGTTAATCTGGCTTAATAAAGGACTTTACAACAGAGTCCTACAATTACAAGGATTTGAAGGTGTGATTGTTGGGGCCGAGGATAGCATACTATAGAAGCTAGTAACTTAAACCACGTTTACCATAGACCATAGCCGTGGGAAAATACGGGTTGTTTACCAGCAGGTTCTTTGGAAAAAGCTGAGTGGGATCGCCTTTCCCACGTGTTCCTGTCCCACACTACACCATTGGTAACAAGCAAATTTTAAGTGGTTTTAAAATGTAACTAAAACCACAGTTATTAAGCTCATTTGCAGCTCAAGAAAAATTAATAGGATATTTTTCTTTGTCACTGTTAATTTGTTAATACTTTCTTCAATTTACTGTGGTAAATATTGATACAGTTTTACAATGCTAAATAACAAACCTGCAAATGAAGTTACTGTACATTCAATATTTGTGTCATTAATTTCCATATTAGATGAAGTTTATGAAAGTTGTCAGAAAAATTATTGACACGTTAAATTTTCTACTGTAGCTCCAAATTTAAGTGTTTAATTTGTGCCATTCACTGTCACTCAAAATCCTTAGCTAAGAGTACAAAACTTATTATATTTCTAAATTTTCTTCCGATTGATAACCAAACACTGTTCTAATAAGATAATAAGACATATTTGCAATTTTGACCAAGTTTTGATATCAAAACAAATTATTTTTATTCATATCTGTAAATACACTGCTGTACAATAAGAATATTACATTTGTGCAGGAACACTGAATTTCAAGATATATATTTGCTTTAAGTTGAAAGATTCATCGAAATAATAAATTGCCCTTTGTAAACAAAATTCTGTCAATTTCACCTTGAAACCTCTATAATCCTGCATGCTTCTTATGTGATTTAAGAAACTTATACCATTCTATGAAGTTTTTCTCTAAAACAATTTATAATTTGGTAATACAACTTTATTTTTATTATTCGTATTATAACTGTGGATATCTTTGTTTGTAATAAAACTATTTATATATTATTTTTTACTAACATTACGCATTCTAAAATATATATAATCTGCAAATAGTTAAGATTGTTAATTCAGTAAAGTAAGTTTGGACGGATTCATTGCTTTAAAAATTAAATATGACCCTTAGTGCCCTTTTTGTCCTATTAGTATCTTTGTCAAATTTTGAGCGGATGTTCTTCCGTAGACAAAGATCTTACACCAATTTTTTGGGCGGGTACCCCAGATTCCCTGGTTTGCCTCCCCCCCCCCTCTTGTGACTGTTCTAGATCCGCCACTGTAAGAATCATAGGACTGGACATTGGCAAAATAAGCACTTTTTAGTACATTTGTATTGCAGATAGAATACAATCTTTTCATGGCATAGATACCAGAGTTAATTTTCTTCAAGACATTATCCACTGTAGCTCCCAACTTAGGTGTCTATATGATGATAAGGCCAAGGAATTTAGTATTTTCAACTTGAATCATTTCATCATTATCTAGGTAAATATTTATTTCCTCATTAATTTTTCTTTTGTTTATTACCAAACTAGCAGAGTACCCGTCCTTCGTACGGGGTTGGCATGTAAGTATAAAGTGACATTAGCGTATGGTTTGACAGCTCCATTTAAGTAATGTTAAATAATGTTTACATTCAGGATAGTGACATAATTATTTTAAATATGATCCTTACCCTCTCTGTTCTAACATTCATGCAGTATTTAAATGAATGTTTGAACCAGCTGTATGGAATTGTGAAATCAAAATTAATTTGACAGTTAGTACTGCTTGTTTACATTTTTAAACTTTGTAGGTTTGTTCTTTGTTGTCATGGATACCATCAATCAAAATTTACTTTGAAATCTCTCACCTCCGATTTTTGAAAGCCCACGGGGCATAGCCCTAGGACAATATTGAAGCGGGAATAGTTCTATATGTATCCTCGGAACTGTAGCTTCATGTGTGTGCAATTTGAGCCCAATAGGTTCAGTAGTTTTTGAGATTAGCTCATACAAACACACACACACACAGACACCACCTCTTCTTTATAATAGTATAGATAGATAGATAGATAGATTAAATGCAGTATTATATGCTAAGTAAGTACATGTGCTGATGATATAAATCTTAAAACTTCGGGTAATTTCATTACTGATATTCAAAACTAAATTGTATGATTATTTTTTTTTATATGCTTTGACACTTTTCATGTATATAAAATGTATTAAAGTGAATAAAGATAATTTGATTTGATTATATGATATGTTGGTACCTACAGTAGAACCTCCATAACAAGACTCTCTTGGGAATTATTAAATAAGATTTGTTATCAAGATTGATTTCTTATCAAGGATTGCAATATGTGAGTAGGGGTCAAATAAATTCAAGGGAATTTTCTCATCAAGGGTGGCTTGTTATCGAGTTTCAACTTTTTCTTTAGTACTGCCAGTAATGAGAAGTATGTAACAATTTTTTTTTTATCAAAATCATAACTGTACACATATGAAAACTAAAAAAAAATTAACCTAGGTTTCTGAAAGGTGTAATCAATAAATTTTCAACAATTTGGAAAATAGAAAACGTATATTGGACAAAACATATTTACAATAGGAATAATTTAATATAAATTATTATATACATTAAATTAATCTTGTATAGTTTTATTAAGTTAAATAAGTTATAAAACAAATTAAAGGAACTGGTTCCTACTGCTTCTACTAGGATGTGGGGAAATACCATAGCTAACATTATATTTATAATCCTTATGACCTAACGGATTGGCTGAAGACAATTAGATGTGTTTCTTTGCAATTAGCATAAAGGAAATTTGATTGTTTACAATATTGAAGCCTACCTATTTAACCAACTTTAAATATATTGTAAGCAAATATAAAAATGCTTGTCTTCCACTTTAGCAACCAAAGAGAACATTGCTTACTGTAAAATTTATTGTAAAACTAGAAATAAACATTTAGCCATTATCAGCAGACTAAAATGTAATCGAAACTAAACAAACATCAAAACAGGCTTTAGATTTTAACAATGGGACAAATGGTAGGCTATATTAATTAGCACTATTTAAAGTAAAAGTAAACGCAAATACATAATATATAAAAATGTTATAAAGATCAAAATGTTTCTATTTTGTGTTCTCATCCCTTTGCAAAGTAAGGGTACAAAAGCTAGTACATAATATCATGGACAAAAAAAATTAAATATAGACTGACAGCTGTGCTGCGGTTACCAGGTACTGGCGCACACCGCTGGGAGCGCCGAGTAGTTATGTAGCGCGTAAGCTGTAACTACATGGCGCTCAAAGCGGTGTATGCCAGAACCTATGGTAACCGCAGCACGGCTGTCAGTCTATATTTCATTCTTTTTGTCTATGAAAATATATAATCTTTGACTATTAATACAACCAACATTCCA